GCTCATCTCAGTGACCCCTCACCTCTGGCTAGGGTGATCATTTTAGTCAATCCCTTGCCTTGCGTCCCCTGCTACTGTGATCATTCCCCTCACAGCTGCCAGGAAGAGGTCTCTAAAATGGAAGTTTGACCATGAGAGCTCTCTGCTTCATGTCCTTCAGGAACTGTCCATCATGCTAAGGCATGGTGGGGGTGCATGTCTATAATCTCAGAGGCTGTGGTGGGAGGATTGCTTGAGTTCTAGGCTAGCTTGGGCTACATAGTGAGTTCAAGGCCAGCCTCAATTGTATAGCAAGACTTTGTTTATTTATTTTGGTACTGGGAATTCCACTCACTACCTCCTGCTTGCCGGGCAGGTGCTTATACCACTGAGCTAAATCCCTAGCCCACAAGACTTTGTTAGAAGAAGAGGAGGAGGAGGAAAGGGAGGAGGAGGGAGAGAAGGAAGGAAGGAAGGGGGAAAGAAGGACAGAGAGAGGGAGGGAGGGACAGCAGGAGAGAGAGACAGAGAGACAGAGGGACAGAGGGACAGAGGGACAGAGGGAGGGAGACCGCACCACCTGGAGTCCAGCTGCCTGAGCAGGGTCTCGAGGGCTGTGCACAAACTGGTCTCCAACAACAGTCTCATACTTTTCTAGCAAGCCCCTCAATCCCACCACGCTGGCTCAGTTCCCTTGCATGGACAGTCACGTTTTCCATGTCCAGTGACAAAAACTCACCCCCTCAAGCTGCCCCTTGCTTCACTTCTGCGACCCTTCACTCTTCCTGCACCCTCCAGCTGAAGCCCTCACCCCCTCTGCAGCACTGGGCCCCACTTGCCCTGCTGCTGCCCCATGTGCTCTGGACCTTGGGCCTCCCGTCCTGTCGTCCTGCTGGACTCAGAGCTCCTCCAGGAGGAACAGGATCTTCTGTCCATGTGTGGTGTGATTCTACCCTGCTAGACAATGTGTGGGCCACCTGGTGTCGCTAAGCTGAGGAACGTCAAACAGACAAAAGCAAACCACCACTGAGGCCACGTAAAGATAGGGTCACCAACATTAGGATACGATGGCCATGTCAGGTGCCTGGAAGTATCAGTGATGGCAGTCGTTTAGTGAGCACTAACTCTATCTGAGGGACTTTCCCGATTATTTTACAAAACTCACCTCTTTCATTCCTTATGATAACCTGTGAGGTGTCTCCATTTCACAGGTACATAAAGTTTAACCACTTGATAAAACTGAGGTACAGGGGCTGGGGGTTTAGCTCAGCGGCATAAGCACCTGCCTGGCAAGCAGGTGGTCGTGAGTTCGATCCCTGGTACCGATAAAAATGAAAAAGACAAAAAAAACAAAAAAAAACAAAAAAAAAAACTGAGGTACATATAAGTTTAACCACTTGTCCAGCTAGGTAATTCCGGCTACCTGGGAGGCTTAGGCAGACTGAGCCTAAGATGGCAAGACTGAGACTAGCCTGGGCAACTTAGCAAGACTTTGTCCCCAAATAAAGAGTGCTCTGGAGAGGGCTGCAGGAGTAGCAGCTCAGTAGTGGAGCTCCTCTTCTCTGGATGGCTGCTTCTTCCTGTCTGCCAGGCCACAAACTCTCTCTCCTCTGCCACGCCCTTCCGGTGTTTGTGGTTGTTGTTTTGAGATACAGTCTTGCTATGAGGCAGTCTAGGCTGGTCTCGAACTCACTATGTAGCCCAGTTGGCTGAGAATTTGCAGTGCCTCAGGCTCCCGAGGCCTGGGTGACAGGTGCACACCCCTATGCTTCACCTGCCAGACTCCTCTACTACCTGCCCTGCCTTAGACCCAGGCGACTATGGACTGAGCTTCTACAAACCGGGAGCCAAAGCAAACCTCTCCTCCTTTAACTCGTGGGTGTCAGGGATTGTCCCCAGCAGTGAGAAAATAACTAAGACAAGCCGTGATATAAAAGTCCTATGTTGGACACTAATAAAACCAATGAACACAACAAATAGGATTTATGTCTTTAGAGATGGAGGGAACAGTGTATAGGGAATCATGTAAGGGAAAGTAAATCAGTGAAATATTATTATATTCTACTCTCTTAGAATAAATCCAGCAAGCCAGGTGCAGTGGCACATGCCTGTAATCCCAGCACTTGGGAGGCTGAGGCAGGAGGATTGCCATGAGCTCAAAGCCAGCTTGAACTACATAACAAGACTCTATCTCAAAAAAAAAAAAAAAAAATTCTGAATATTTGCGTCCCCCAAATACTGGGGATCAAACTTAACGACTCTGCCCTGAGCTACACTCCCAGCCCTGTCTTAAATAACTCCTTTTGTTAAATTTTGAGGCAGGGTCTCATTGTGTCTAAGCTGTCCAGGTTGGTCTCTAACCTGTGACTCTCTTACCTGCCAAGGTGCTGGGATGCCAGGTGTGCCCTACCACATCTGCCCCTAAAGAAAGATCTTTTTTAGAGGACTAGGAGGTGCATTCGAGCAGGATGAAGAGCCTGAGAGGAAGCACAAAGGTGGGGCAAACTTCAGAGCCTGTCTATGTGTGGCCAGGGGCATTAGAATGGGCAGGGGCCACTGAACAAAGGCTTTGAATCCAACAGTTCCTGCTTGTTGTGCAGTGATGAAAATGACCCTCCAAGTGAAGGTGACAGTTGATGAAAAAGAAAACCAGAGCTTTTAAGACTTTTCCTGGGGGCTGGAGATTTAGCTTAGCAGGCATAAGTGCCTGCCTTGCAAACAGGCAGTCGTGAGTTCAATCCCCGGTACCGATAAAAAATGAAAAAGACCAAAAAAGAAAAAAGAAAAAAAAAAAAGACTTTTCCTTCCTATTCTAAATGTATCCAACTGGCCTATTGTCCTCTGAAGAACACATTTTTTCTCCTTAGGATCATATTTGTATCATACCAGTATTAGTTTCTTCATCTTTCCAACAGAATATGCACATGCCAAGGATACGAACCATAAGCAAAACTGAACTCTTTCACTGGGGATTGAACCCAGAGTCTTCACACTCCAGCCCTTTTTATTTTAAGACAGGGTCTTGCTAAATTGCCCAGGATGGCTTTGAACTTGGAATTTTGTGGAGCCTTTGGGCTCCAGAAGAGCTGGGACTTCAGGCATGCACCGCACCATCACAACTGGCTGAAAGTCTCACTATGCAGGTCAGGCCAATTTCAAACTCACTTTGTATCCCAGGTTGGTCTGAGATTTGCAATGATTCTCCTGCCTCAGCTTCCTGAGGGCTGGGATTACAGGCATGCATCACCATGCCCAGCAAAACTTCTTTTTTTTTTTTGGAGACAGGGTCTTCCCTATGTATTCCAGAACATCTTGGAACTCACAATGATCTGCCTGTCTCAGCCTCCCAAGTACTGGGATTACAGGTGTGGGTCACCACACCCATCTCTGAAACTATAAACTCTTTAAATTTTGCCTACAATGTTAAAAGAATCCACTGGAAGGGATTAACTAATGCTGAGTGTCTGCAATGCTGGACACGGTAATGATAACTATAATTGACCAGCAAGTATTTATTGTGGGCAGAACACAAGTAGGGCACTACTAGGATGATACAGAAGAACTGAGATATACTCTTAATATTAGAGGTCCTTAACCACTAGTTAAGGGAGCGGGAATATCCAAGAATGAGTGTCACGGATACAGCAACAAGGGCAAGGTAACAGAGCATGTGTGCTTGAAGGGATACAAAAGAAACATGAGCCACTTTCAAATAAGTTCTGAGCAATTCACTCAAGCTATCATGGATATTTATTTTAAGCACTAAAGGCTAAACACTAAATACAGAAGCTGCCCGAGTCAACAATGGCCCAGGATATCCCCAAGGAGAGTGAGTGCAGGCTAAAGGGCTGCAACTTTAACTCTTCAGAGTCCTCTAACACCTCTTCAGCTGCTTTGTCCTATAAACTGTGCTCCAGGTGGAAATCTCCATCTTAACTGCTTCAGGTTCAAAACTGGACTCCAGGATCTTAACTTAGGAACTGACCTTGCCTGGATCCCAGCCACTCCCTTTCTCCATCCAGCCTTACCAGTCTTATTAAAGGGAAGTTAAATTCTCCTGCCTGTTCTCCGTTTTCCAGTCTTTTCTGATGGCTCTTCTGGCCTAACATTCTCCACCAATCTCTCTTTCCTAGGCCCTTTCACGATTATGTTAATATCCATTCCTTTTCGTGCTCCAGCTTCACTAAAAATATTCCTTCCTCTTTCTCCCTCCCCCAACTCTTGGCTCAAGCAAGCATGTGGAATCCAGAGGTCATTTAAGCTAAGTGGGGTTCCATGCTTCTCTAACTCTGGTAAAGCAACCTTACATTCAAGAAATAGAAAACAACCTCCCCCCCCTCCGACCACCCACTTTCTGAAACCCACACACAGTGGGGTAAGATGGTGGGCGCTCGCCAGAGAGCTCAACTGGGAATTCTTTGGAGTTACAGTTTTTGGAGCAGGGTTCTGCCTCTTCCTGCAACGTGAATGCTTTGCTTGCAGCAAGGACAATGTCTCCTCTACCAGACAGGAAACTTCTTCCTGACGATCGTCACTCTTTTGTTCCTAATTTAAATCCCATTCCCATACCTTAGGGACCCAAGAATGGCACTTAAAATATAAATTTTCTCGTGCAAAATACACCTGCCCAACTTTTTGAGTTTATACGAGAAACGTAAACACCCTTTAATCAATCAGGCAGCGAAAGAGTTAAATCTCGGCAACCTGATGGATTCTGGGGGTTTCTTCGCTGACTTCACAAATTAATACGACCAGGAAGAGAAATTTTGCCCAAGATAATGATGAAAACCGTTAACTTCAACAGCTGGGATTTTGCCCCACACAAGAATGGCTACCTACATCCACAAAGAGTACCACTCACCTAACTAAAAATGGTTGGCCCAAGTTTCTCCTATGGGTGGCACTTCCTGCCCACTTCCAAAATGGCACTCGCTAGCTTCACCAAAAGGAGAGACCCTCCCAGAACCGTCTTTGGCTCGCAACGTCACGTGACGCGAGCCCAGCCGGAAGTGAAGGAAAAAGCGCTCCAGCCCGCGGCGCCTGCGCAGAAAGCACTAGACGCTGAGAGGCAGGAGGCACTTGGGATCGTCCGCAGGGTTGGGACTGCTACAGAGGCCGCCACGGAGCCCGCCGGAGCCACCGTTCCTCCGGCTGCTGCCGCCGCCCGAATCGGAACCGTCGGGCCGCAGCCGCCGGCAATGCCGCGAAGGAAGGTGAGAAATGGGAGAAGAGGGATGGCGGGTTTCTAAGAACAGTCGACGGAGCAATGTGACGCCGTTAGCCACGCCTCACCATGGTCGGGTTCCAACTCCCCTCTCCCCCAAACCTAGTTCAGCTACCCTCTCTTCTCTTCTACCGTACCCGACAGAAAAATGTGGGCCCGACCCTGGCCTCGGCCTATGCTTTGCAACTATTCCCGCCCTCTGCTTGCCGTGATCAGAGGCGTTCTTATTGCTAATTGGCCGATGAAACGTCTGCAAGCATATGGATTGGCTGGTGACGCCGCCTGTTTGGCTCAACGGTCACCTCCCCGCGTGCGGGGGCGGTGTCTGGGCCCGGCCCCGGCACTGTACGATTGGCTGTGGAGAACGATCCCTCCTGTCATAATTGGCCAGGCTTGGCAGTCTGTCCCGTGGGGGCGCGGCTTAGCAGGGCCCTGATTGATTGGGTGGTCTGAGTCCCTGCCCTTCCGGGTGGAGAAACTGATAGACGCAGAGGCGGGGTTTGTTGTGCCGCCTTTGCTTCCAGGTGGGAACACAACAAAGCAGAGAAGTGGGTGATGGGGAACCAGCGCCCACTCCCGAGGGATCCCACTCAGGGATGTTGTGCCTGAGCCGTCAACTTCCATTATTCGCTTAGAAAATGAAGTTCGTAAAATTAAAAAATCTTGCTAAGATTAAAAGATCACACAGGAACATGTTCATCTTTTTTTCCGCAGTTGAGCCCATGGAAGTCTGCTAGGGTGTCCCAAGCCACTCATCAGGCAGTGGGAGAGGCTGAGCTATCGAACAGTTGTAATTCAAATATGTGTGTCGTTCAGGGTCAGAGGTCAGCGATTCACATATGGGGGTTATCGACTGACGAAGTGGCTTTAAGAGACTGTCTCATCCCAGTGATTTGCTGTGACTTGGATTTTTTTGCTCACTTTTGAAAAGGTTGCTCATGAAATATCTGCAAAGCACTGATGGCATTCTGCTCACTTCTGCAGAAATCTTTCTCTTTACAGAAGCTTTCCAAGTTAAATATTTACACTTGTAATGTCTCTTAAAATGACCTAAATTGGTAGGTGGCCTTTATGTTAAGAAATGCAGAAATAGTATCGGAGCCTTGGTCCACATTTCTCATTCTGCAATTTCCAAATACAAGGTATTCTCAGAAATCTCAGTTTTTTAATAAAATGTTTGGTGCCAGGCCTGTCCCCAAGCTATCCTGAGTCTGCTTACAATTTATATGTGTCTTATTTAGTATGATTATTTATATATTTTGCTGCAGAAATACTGATGTGTCTGATTATAACGTGTTATTTGCAGGATATATGTGAAATACCCCTTTTTAAAAGTCTGAGACATGAATTTCAAACACAGCTGGTCCTAAGTGGTTTGCTCTTTGAATAATGAACCAGGTTTTAGGGCTGGGGATGTGGCTGCATGGTGGTTGGTCCACTTACGGACAGAGGCTGTGTGCTTTCCTTTCCAGTGTAGTACAATGCCAGTGGTGAATTGATCAAGCAGTCTTTATGTTTTTGGGACTGTTTACTCTAATCACTAACAAGTAACGATGAATTGAAATAGGAATTTGTAAAAACCTATTTTTCAGTACCTGTGAGCCTTGAGTATCTCTCTCTCTCTTTTTTTTTTTTTAGCATTTCTGGCATTTGTGTGGATAAATGTTTGGGATAAGAAGAATTTTTATCTTTTGCAGACAAGTTATAGGCCATAGTAATGTGTGTGTGTGTGTGTGTGTGTGTGTGTGTGTGTGTGTGTTATTTATTTATTTATTTACTTACTTACTTATTTTTGGTACCACGTTCAAACTCATGACCTTGTGCTTGCCAGGTGGGCATTTTTGCCACTGAGCTATATCCCTGGCCCATAGTGTGTGTATGATTTTTTTTTTTAGACTAAGATCTCACAATGTATTCCAGGCTGGCCTGGAATCCTTGAACTCACTCTGTAGCTCATACTGACCTCAAATACACAAGCAGTCTTCTTGCTTCAGCCTCCCGAGTGCTAGAATGACAGGCATGTGCCACCATTCCTGGCTCAGCTTCAGATTTTGAAACAGTATGTGATTTTTAGGGCGTGTATATGTGTGGTGCCAGGGCTCTAACACCAAGCCACACCCCAGTTTAATATATTGTTTTTAAAAAATGTGATCCCTGTTCATGGAGACTTGAAAAAAACCTTTTCCGTAATTTTTTTTGTCTTTTTCCTTTTTATCGATACTGGGGATCGAACTCACGACTGCCTGCTTGCAAGGCAGGCGCTTATGCCGCTGATCTAAATCCCCAGCCCCATTTCCCTAATATTTTAAATGAGGCCTAGTATCAACATTTTTCACACTACCTTGGACTTTTTCTCTGCATGCTTGTCACCCAGACCGTTTTGAGTTTAGTATTGTCATTTCCAATTTGTGTAACTGATTGCCAAATGGACTTGGCTCGGAATTAGTGATAATACAGTAAAAAGTCATTCTCCTCTTTCATTTTATAGCAATGGTGCCTGAGTGTATGGGGCTCCATTTAAATGTCCCACATAAAGGGAAGCTGGCTCTGGGCAGGGAGGTGAAACGCACGTGGAATTCTTTCTTAGGTTTGAACTTGGTGTTTCCAGCGCCGTGGTTCATTTTATTTCCAGTGCTAATGAAAACCCACAGAGTCAATGCATCTGTGCTAACCTCTGGATCTATGGTGTTGCAGAGGAATGCAGGCAGTAGTTCAGATGGAACGGAAGATTCCGATTTTTCTACAGATCTCGAGCACACAGACAGTTCCGAGAGCGATGGCACGTCCCGCCGATCCGCCCGCGTCACCCGCTCCTCTGCCCGGCTCAGCCAGAGCTCCCAAGGTAAAGAGCCCTCCTCCTGCCCGAGCAGGCTACCCAGCAGGCTGACTGGGCATCTCCTTGTTGTGCTTCTGATAAGAAAAGCAGCTCTTGGGTTGGCGGAGTTGGCAGAACCTGGTAAAGCATAGGGCAAATGAAGAAGCAACCCATTTTTGTAAATGCTTCTGTTGGCATAGGGTGGGGTTTGTGGGCTTAGAGCACCTGTGGCTGTGGGCGCAGGTGTCTCATGAGCCATTTGATTGTCACTTTTTTTAACGCCACAGTGTCAGGATCAGTAGACCCGCTCAACTAGCAGGGTTGAGGGGCTTAAAATAGTCTTCTGAATTTGCTAATACATGAGACGCAATGATTGTAAAAGCCTGTTTTATCTTGGAATGTACTTAAATACACATTTGATAGAACTGTTTGTTCTTAAATATCTGCGTGTAAATACCCAGAATTTTGCTTTGACAGTAAAGAAAAGAATCTCTTTCTCTCTCTCTCTTTTTTTTTTTTTTTTTTTTTTTTTGGTGTTTTTTGAGACAAGATCTTATGCATTTCAGGCTGGCCTTGCGTTCACTTCATGGCCCAGGCTGGTTTCAAACTCACAGTGCTGCCTTAGCCTCCAGTGCTGGGATTACAGGTGTGAGCCATCACACCTGGCAACTGTTCCTATTTTTTAAAGAGTTTTAAAGGAAAGTGTAGCTGTTTTACCTTGACTTTGCAACTTTTAAGTTTTTACTACAGTGAGCCTGGTTATAGATTGCTGCTGTAATTTAAGAACTGTGCAGCTGGGCATGGTGGTGTACTCCTGTAATTCCAGCCCGTGGGAGGCTGAGGCAGGAGGATCGTTGCAAGTTCAAGACCAGCCTGAGCTACAAAGTGAGGGCAAGGCCCGCCTGAACCGCATAGCGAGACCCTGTTTCAAAAAGACAAAAAAAGAAAGAACTGTGCTATCCTAGGATACTAGAGTAGAGAGAACATCATTCCTGTCTCAGTGAAGCTCCAATTTTTGTGTGAGATAAAGATAACCTGAATTGATAAGGAGTGAGTGTTATGTTTGGGGCTAAACCCAGGGCTTTTGTGTTGATATGCATCCCCAGCCCTTTTTATTTTGAGATAGTCTGGTTGAATTGCCCAGTTTAGGCTTGAATTTTCAATCTTCCTGCCTCAGCTGCCCAGGGTGCTGATATCGTAGGTGGGCGCCCCCACTCCTAGCTGTGAATTGACAGTGGGAATGCTCTGCAGAAGGGGCTGGGAAAGATTTGCTTAGAGTGCTCCGGTCACCCAGATGTGGGGCAGCAACTTACAGCAGGTCTGCCAGAAGGAAACCTCAGGGGAATTTACAAGTTGGGAAATGGGAAAATGTTATTCTAGGCAGAGGAAACAGCATATGCACAAATGGGGACCTCATGTTGTTAGAAAGTGTAATTGGCCATGTAACCTGAAAGTTAAGTTTGTGTAATTGGCCATGTAACACCTGAAAGTTAAGTTTGAGACAGATCAGAAACACAAAAGACCTCTGGCGTGGTGGTGCACTCCTGTAATCCCAGCACTCGGGAGGCTGAGGCAGGCAGGTCATTGCAAGGTCAAGACTAGCCTGGGCTACAAAGTGAGCCCAAGGCCAGTCTCCACAAGGTCACACATAGTGAGACCCTGTCTCAAAAAGACAATAAATAAACACAGGGGGCCCAGAGCTGTGGATCTGTTTGTCATTTTACTTGGTGACATAAATCACATAAATCCTGGGTATATCATTCACATTGTAGTTTAAGTAAAGGCCACTTTCTCCAGAGCAAAATGAAGGCTGTCTTGTGAACAGATTCCTTAAAGGTGTGCAGACTTACAGCTTGCTGAGTGCTAACTTCCCACCTGCAAGTTGGAGGGTTTTAATTTTATTTATTTGTCTTTTTTGAGACAGAGTCTCTATGCAGTTCAGGCTGGCCTTGAGCTTACTTTGTAGCCTAGGCTGGTCTCGAACTCGCAAGGATCTTCCTGCCTCAGCCTCTCAAACGCTAGGATTACAGGGGTGAGACACCACACCCAGCTCAATTTTATTTTGAGAGTCTTTACAATTTTATGCATTATTGTAGCATAATTTTGTTGTCTAAAATGTGCTTTCATTTTGGTTTGAATTTCTTTTATTTCCTTTGTCATCAGGCAGGAGGTGTAAAGGGCTGATGAAGCTTCAGAATCAGTTTTGCCGAGCCAGGGATTTAGCTTAGTGGCATAAGCACTTGCCTTGCAAGTGCGAGGTCGTAAGTTCGATCTCCAGTACCAAAAAAACAAAACAAAAGAATCAGTTTTGCCATCCAGAAGAACTTAGCTGTGCTCTTGCCTTATCTTTAAGGTCTATTTTGAGTGGCACAAGAGGCCCCTAAGGAAAGGAAGTACCTGTATGTCTTTGTACTATTAGGAGTAGGGTATCTTTTTCTTTTTTTATTTGGTACTAGGGATCAAACTTATGACTTCATGCTTGCCAGATGGGCATTTATGTCACTGATGTAAATCCCCAGGAGTAGGGGATCTTTTTTATGCTGGATTAGATGAAGGGAGGAAAGAGAAGACCAGCTGATACTGATAAGGTGCTTGATAGCAGGCTTTGTGTTGTGTGAGTTTTCTTGCTTATTTACTTTCTTTCTCACTTACTCCTCCGCTTTGACGACTGGGCTGCTAGTGCTTTTGGGTGTTTCGTTGGGCTTTTTTGAGACAGGGTCTCGCTGTGTAATTCAGGCTGGCCTTGCATTCACTGCATAACCCAGGCTGCTTTTGAACTCACCATAAACCTCCTGCCTCAGCCTCCAAAGTGCTGAGATCACAGGTGTGCGCCACGGCACCTGGCATCCTTCTTTGTGGGTGAGGAAACAAGCTGAAGGGTCTCCTTGCCTGGGAGCCACAGCTGGCTGCTGCGGTGGTGTGGAGCTGAGTTGTGTTCAGCCTAGCGCTCTGCTCGCCGCTGTTGACCCTGAACTGTGTTTTATCTCTGTCCCTGAACCAGAGCCTTTTGCTTATGTGTTAGCTAACAAACCTTCGGAAGCTTTGTTGGGTTTTGTGCACTAGGAAGAGGAGGAAGAGGGTCTCCACCCTACCACATCCTACGCAGAGAAGTAAACAGACTGCCTTCTCTTTTATTTTATGGCCTTTTAAAATCGGGATCAGACTCCAGCCCCGTCAGAAACCTGCAGTCCTTTGGAACCGAGGAGCCTGCCTATTCTACCAGGAGAGTGACCCGCAGCCAGCAGCAGCCCAACCCAGTGACCCCGAAAAAGTACCCGCTGCGGCAGACGCGTTCGTCTGGCTCGGAGACCGAGCAGGTGGTGGATTTCTCAGACAGAGGTGAGGGGTCTGGGGCGAGGGGCGTTGTCACAGTGGGTCCCTGGGGGAGCAGTCTGGGGGATGCTTGACACAGACCAGGGTCAGCTGGGCCGGAGGAGGATCTGACCGCAGTTTCTCTGCAGTGTGTGAGGTTGGGCTTGTAGAAGGAGTGAGGGAGCAGGACCTTCTGAACCCAGGCCAAGGAGGATTCACCCACTTCCCTTAGGGCTGTGCTCGTCAGCCCCACCTCCTCCAGGTTGCTAAGTGGAGGCGATCTTCTGTCTGTTAACCGGTGAGCTTAGGACTCGCCAGCCCAAAGCCTTAGGGATTAGAAGGTGCTGAGCTCCTGGCTACCACTGTGGTGTTTGCTTGCTGAGTGTTTAACATTCTTAAATTTGTTGCCAGGATTTGGAAGCCCAGCGATTTCATATAAAAATCTTGAGTTGACCTGAGTGGTGGTGCACACCTGTAATCCCAGAATTGGGGAGACTGAGGCAGGGGGATGGCTGTGAATTCAGGGCCAGCTTGAACAGTGTGGTGAGACTTTGTCTTCAGAAAAACAATAAACTTTAATTGCTTGTTTTTAAACCAATCATTTACCCATAGTAGCAGCTGGCCATCCTGGAATGGTCAGTGTCCCCTTTACACCAGCAGTGAGCGTGCCCAGGCCCCATCGACCTTGGGTTTGCAGTCCTTGATTTAGACCCCAGAGTTTGGTGATTGCACTGAGACCATCAGTGAGCCAGCTCAGGAGGAGGCCAAGGCACCCTTCACACCAAGATGTTTCATGCTGTGTAGAGCCTGCACCCATTTATCTACTGTTTCTTAGGAGAAAAACAGGGTGGTAATTTTAAAATTTTATTTATGCCTGTAGTTGGCATTGAGGAGAGACCCAGAAGTAAGGTGCAAGTCACCTGAGAGAGTGGCGCCAGTGTGGGTAGCTAAAAGTGACTAAGTTATGGAGAGAGAACAGAAAAGCCCCCAAACTTATAAAGGAACCCCTTTCACAGTTTCTATCAATGACTTTTGCTTAGAAACCAAAAACACGGCGGATCATGACGAGTCACCCCCGAGAACGCCAACTGGAAACGCGCCCTCTTCAGAGTCTGACATTGATATCTCCAGCCCCAACGTGTCCCACGACGAGAGCATGGCCAAGGACGTGTCCCTGAAGGACTCGGGCAGCGACCTCTCTCACCGCCCCAAGCGCCGTCGCTTTCACGAGAGCTACAATTTCAACATGAAGTGTCCCACACCCGGCTGTAACTCCCTAGGTCAGTGCGGCCCTGCTACGTGGCCCCCAGCATTCAGTGATTGTTCCTCTGTCTCTGGCATTAGGAGCATCCCGAAATGTCCTGTGTTCTGTTGTGATTTGGCTTCTCAGACTCTTCACCATTATCAGTCACAGTGGTTTATCCACTTGAATACAGATATTTCAGCTTTTATTCATAATAAATGTGGTGCAAGGAAATTAACTATCATGTAACATTTAGTTTGATCATTTAGTATGATGGACCATTTTATTTTTGATTTTTTTTGAGACAGAGCCTCTATATAGTCCAGGCTGGCCTCGAACTCCTGAAGACTCTCCTGCTTCAGCTTCCTGAATGCTGGATTATAGGCATACATCAGTATATCTGGCATTTGAGAGCTCTTATCAGTGAAAAATTCCCTCCTTTCCTAGGAAAACCAAAATAAGAGAAGACCAGATCTCTCGTTATATGGAGTGTACTTCCCCACTTAGAGGGCCAGCAGTGCGCACTGCAGGGCGGTGGTCTCATGTCCACAGCTGCCACGGAAATGAGAGAAACAGATTTCTTATCAAGAGGCTGTGAGGCTTAATAAATCTGCGTGAGCCCTCGGCCTTTTGTGACTTCAGTATTAGGTTTCCTGGCTTTGTGTATTTATGAAGTATAAACAAGATAAAAGATTTCTTCTTGAATAAATAAGTCATTGTTCCCTGAAGACTTTTAACCCTTACTGAATCTTTTAGGGGTTCTCAGGCTGATTGTAAGCTTTGAGCTAAAGCGTGGGTGTTGGGCTTAAGCCATTGTCTAGAGAAGAACCCTGATGGGGAGACAGGTGCACATCCTGTGCTCATCCCGCTCCCCAGTGCTCGGGAAAGCAACAAACATGTTACACTGTAGTCCTGAGAAAAAACAGTACCCACCTTAATTAAACAGATACTTTTTAGTTACAGGGTGCTAACAATCCTCTGCACTGTTAGAAAAAAGGTGTCAGTACACTTGCTCTGCAGAATTGCCACAAACTTTCAGTCTGATAAAAATTAAAAAAAAAGTGCAGCGTCTGCACAGCACAACAAAGGGAGACAGAGTCTGGGCTCCAGCAGCGCTGCATCCCACACTGCTGCTTGCCTTAAAGACAAGAGCAGAGCCTCCGGGACAGTGCCGCAGCAGCTGAGGGGTCAGCAGGTGCTAGGAGGTTTCCAGTCGGTTTTAATGTCCAGGAGCCGCCGTCACGTATGTCTTCTGCTGTTGTCTGAGACATCGCTGTGCGGTATGTGACTCTGAGCGTGTGGCTTTCTAAGATTCCATGTTTAATAAATGGGAGTCCTGGAGATCTGGCGGTCTGAATACCATCGGCCCCCGGCTGCTAGATCTTAGAATGTTTGCTCTTTTTTGGGGGGGTGGGTACCAGGGATCGAACTCATGACCTTGTGCTTGCCAGGCAGGTGCTTGTGCCCCTGAGCTAAATCCCTGGTCCGGACTGTTTGCTCTAAAGCTTACTCTGTAGATCTTGTTGTATCGTTTTTCAAAAATTGGGCCCAGCCCTTTGTATTTTTTGAGATGGGGTTTCCCAGATCAATAAGTTGTCCAGCTAGGCCCAAACTTTCAGTCTTCTTGCCTCAGCTTCCCAGAGTGTTGGGGTAACAGGTATATGCTCTTGACACGCAGGGGTTGCATAATTTTTAAAGTTCCAGTATATGTATTTTTTTTGTCTTTTTGACACAGGGTCTTGCTCTTCGGTTCAGGCGGGCCTTGAGCTCACTTGGTAGCCCAGGCTGGTCTCGAACTCCAACAATCTTCCTGCCTCAGCCTCCTGAGTGTTGGGATTATAGGCGTGCACCACTATGCCCAGCTCCAGTATATCTTTTACCTAAAATTAAATTTTTTTCCATGAAAGAAAGATGAAGATTTTTGTAGATATGTAACTCAGCTAATTTATGTTTTTACCTCTTGGTTGAAGAGATTTGGATCAAACAATAATGATTCCTTATTTCTTTTTTTTTTTTCTTTTGTGGTACCGGGGATCAAACCCATGACCTTGCACTTGCCAGGCAGGTGTTTATGCCGCTGAGCTAAATCCCTGGCCCTCTATTCCTTTTCTCATTTGTTGTTTGTTTTAGGCACTACAGATTGACTCCAGAGGCTTTGTATTGAGCTCCATCTCTGGTCCTTTTTTTTCTTCTTTATTTTGAAAGAGGGCCTTTGCCCAGGGTGGGCTTAAATTTACTGTCCTCCTGCCTTGGTCTTTGAGAGGCCTGGCTTACATGACAGAATAGGCTGTTTTCTTTGTTGATTGCTTTTTTTTTTTTTTTTTTTTTTGAGGTGGGGTCTCACTGTAACATAGGCTGGGCTTGAGCTCACTCTGTAGTCCAGGCTGGCCCCAAGTTCAAGGCCATCTTCCTGTCTCTTCCCAAGTGCTGGGATTACAGATGTGCACCAACATGCTTGGCTTTCTTTTCTGTGTTTTGTAAATTTCTTTTGCTTATTGACAGGAATTAAATTTGCAGCAGATAGCATCATAAAGTAGAAAGAATAGTATACTTCTACTATGACAGTTTAACATAGAATTAAATTCCACCAAAGAAAGTGTACCTGTTTGTAATTTTGCGCCTCACCATAAATGTGTGACTTTATGGTGACATGGACCTTAGGTAGCCTTTAGATTATCAGAACAGAAGGAGCCACATTGACATCCACAGGTGTGTCTGAAGGTTGCCAGATGTGTCCTATGAAAGAAAAGTTGTGATCTTGATAGCATTTTTCTCTGGTGGCTTTGATCTGATTGATAAAAATGGGAGAGCAAGCAGACATGCTCGTTGAGAGAGAATCTCACTTTCTAAAGCTTAAGACTTTGCGTAAGTAACGTCTGTCTCTCCTCTCTTAACAGGACATCTTACTGGGAAACACGAGCGACATTTCTCCATCTCAGGATGTCCTCTGTACCATAACCTCTCAGCTGATGAGTGCAAGGTAACCACCCCCTCCTGCCCCCGCGTCTGTAGGGAGAGCTTGGTGGTGGCCTGGCGCTGGGCTGCACGCCGGGGCTCCTGCAGTGTGCAAGACACGCAAGATCCTCTTCGTTCACATCTTTTCATGGAGAAATAGGAGAAAAAAGATTGTGTTCTTAAACTGCTTGGTGCACTCCAGTAATCCCAGCACTCGGGAGGCTGAGGCAGAAGAATGAATTGTTTGCAAGTTTGAGACCAGCCTGGGCTATAAGTGAGCCCAAGGCCCACTGAACTGCATATGGAGACCCTGTCTCAAAGAAATAAAAAAAAAAAAAAAAAAAACCCTGCTTGGACACACAGAAGAGTTTCAGTATTTAGTGCATTGGAAGGAACAAACAAGGAGATTATAGAATATTTGGGGCACTGATCACTAGCGCATAGAAAATCACCTTCAAAGATTGCTCAAGTCCTGTTTGTTATGTGACTTCATCTCAGTGTCTATGTGTTAGATTCTTTGTTTACAAATCTATGAGATTGCTGGGGATTAGCTCAGCGGCGTAAGCGCCTGCTTTGCAAGTGCGCAGTTGTGAGTTCGATCCCCAGTACTTATTAAAAAAAATTGTTTTCCTCTTCCTCTCTCCATTTCTACAGAAGACTTTTCCTTTCGGTGTACTCTACACCTATTCTTGGCTAATTCTTCTGTTAAGTACTAAAAAACAGAGCTCCTAAGTCCCTCTGGGATGTAGATGATGTATCTGAGCGAAGAGCCTAAGGTTGCATTCACGAGTCCCCGTGTGGATTGCACCTACCAAGGGTGGAACAGAAGAACTAATGGAGGGAAGCCAGAATGAAGACGTTAATCAGGTCGCCCGGGAGGTGTCTGTGCAGGTGCCCTAACTAAACACTCTGGTTAAACAAAGTCTGTGTCCTTGTCCTAGCAGGTGTCATTTTAAGGAATGTTAGATTCCTAGGTGACTTTCTTGGTTCTTCTTGATACAGGAGCTTGTTCTCTTGTTGATAGACAGACTGCAGGGTGAAAATTTCTTGACGGTTTAGTCTTTTGGCGTCACTGGGTCTATGGACTTTTAAGGTTGAGGACTCTGCTCTTAAAATTCTACCTCTTATTTTAAGTGAGGCTGCCTTTTCTGCTCAGTGTAAGCTCTTCCTGTTGGCTTCTTGTGGTCTTCAACAAGATTGGTACTGTCTTGTTGAACTGTCACCATGATTCAGAGTCAGCCAGGTGCTGGGTACACCTTCCTCTGAAAATAATGGCGATCTACTTCTAGTAGGTCCTCTTCTGTGTGCCTTTAAATGTCACAGTTGATACTATTGGTTTAACATCAAAATCTTCCAGAGATATAACCTTAAAAATTGTTAGCTGAGCACGATGGTACACACCTATAATCCTAGCACTTGGGAGGCTGTGGCAGGAGGATTGCTGTGAGCTTGAGGGGAGCCAGGGCTACATAGTGAGAACCTATCACCAAAAACTGACAAACAAAATTTTGACTTACCTAGTGCAGTGGTGCATGCCTGTAATTCTGGCTATTCAGGAGGCTGAGGCAGGAGGATCATGAGTTTGAGGCCAACCTGGGCCATTTAGCAAGATCCTATCTTTATTTATTTATTTATTTATTTATTTATTTTTTTGTCTTTTTCCTTTTTATCGGTACCGGGGATCGAACTCACGACTGCCTGCTTGCAAGGCAGGCGCTTATGCCGCTGAGCTAAATCCCCAGCCCAGCAAGATCCTATCTTTAAAAAAAAAAAGTGGGCTTGTAGCTATATCTGCATGTTACTCAAACAGTTTTTTAAAAGAGAATTTCGGTCTGGAGAAGAAAATACTGCAAAAAGGCAAACATTTCTGTCATAAATTTTCTTATTTTGCAAGGAGATCAAGGCTTAGCATAATCCTTCTTCCTTGTGGACTGTGTGCTTGGCGGCTTTGGAACTTCAGGAGGTGATAAAGACTGAGAATCCCAAATGGAGAGACCAGACAGTGCCTCGCCTTTATAACTAGTTTTTGTTTTTCCTTTGTAGTTTATGTTTTTTTTTTTTTTTTTTTTTTTTTGTGGTGCTAGGGATCAAATCTTGGGCTTCACAATACGAGGTGAGCCCTCCTGCCCTTTAGCAACCAGGTGTGGTGGCACATGCCTATAATCCCAGCACTTGGGAGGCTGAAGCAGGAGGATCACAGTTCAAGATCAGCCTGGGCTACTAAGCCCAAGGCCAGCCTGCACTGCATAGTGAAACCCTATCTCAAGAAGACATAAAAACAAAAAAACTTTAGAGTTGTAAAACTCTCCATGTGCATAACCGCTTTTGGATCCTAGCACACCTTGCAGAGGGTGGCCCCCCATTTTTATTCAGTCATCTGTTTCCTTTCTTACTCATCCACTTCTGCAGGACAGATTGTTGCCAGTCCTTGTGAGGAGTTGGTGTGTGGAGGGAACACTTAGGGGGTTCCTTTTTCACCCCCCGTCTCTCCCCGCTGCCTCCATCTCTGATCCCCTCCCCTTTGGCAGAGGTCCCTCCCCTACTGCCTGTTACATGTCTTTCACTTTGCCCTTGGTTTATATTTTGGGGTTCTCTGAGTCGTCTGTCTCTGTGGCTGGCTCCACATTACGGATAGGAGGACTTGGAGGAAGATGAGACATCATTCAGGGGCTCCAGCTCCGAAGGCGGAGGCAGTGGCGTCCACAGAGCAGTGCGTGGCTGACAGTTTCATGCCGAGGTGAACGGTGTACAAAGCAGAGTAAAGGCCGGGACTTTGAGGGGGCTGGGGGGGACAGCGCTGGTGCTGTGGAAGGATTTTCTGAGACGCTGGCATTTGACCTGGGACGCTGATGGTGGCAAAGAGAGCAGAGCAAGGCGGAAGCAGAGGCTGAGAGGTGCTGACAGGAAGTCAGCCGGGTGCCTGGAGCTTGGTGGGGGTAGGAAGCGGGACCCAGGCTCCGTGGGCCTTGGCACGAGGGGTGCGTTTTCATTCTGATGCAGTGGGACCAAGATCCTGCTAAAATCATAACTCACTGGAGAGTGGAGGATGGGCCGTGGGGGGACGATGAGCAGCCTCCTGAGCTGGCAGGAGGGGCACCCTGGGTCCGTGCTGGATCTCTGTGGCGCTGACTGCACCTTGGATTCGTGATGGCTTCGGAAAGGAGCAGGATACAGGAATGGCAGGTGGATTTCACGTGAGCCGTGAAAAGAGCTGGCGCCAAGGGTAATTGGAGTCGATTGACCCGATCAGCTTGGGAGATGGGGTTTTCTTCACTTTCCTGCCATCAAGGAGATGTGGGTGGGTTGGATTCGTGGGGAACTTAGTCACTCTGTTTTGATGCTGCTGGTTTAGTAGTGAAATCAAAGAGGCAGTTGGATGTGAGAACTCAGTTTCTGATGATGAAATTGAAACTACTGAGAGCTGATAGGTTTGGTCTGAGATTATGTAACTACAGAGTTGTGTTTCCCGGTAGATTTGAAGCCAGGTGTTTCTCTCCCCCCCCCTCTCTCTCCGTCTTGCTGGGTTACCCAGGCTCTCCTTGAGTTCCTGGGCTCCCGCAGTCCTCCTGCCTCAGCCTCCTGTGTATCTGGGACAACAGGCACAAATCTTTGTGCCTACTTGCAACCCAGCTTCTGTGTTTCTTGGTGGTACTTCACTCCGTCCTGCAGTTTTTCAAAGTTTCTTACCCAGTTTATATGGGAAGAGTCCGGCTCAGAGCCACCAGACTTCATTAGAATCTTAGCTTCGCAGTCACTAAGCTGTGATCCCTTGGCTCCTGCAGTCAGTTAATGCTGAGAGAGCAGAGTGAGAGGCTTGCTTAGCTCTTTCTCAGAGCCCGTGCGAGGGCACCCTGGCTCTCAGAGTGCAGTGCGTCTCCCAGGGGCAGTTACTGCTGTGTTCTTATGCTATAAGCAAACGAAGTCTTAGGAGCGGGTGGATTTATTGACGTTGTTGATGGTTGCAGGTGAGAGCACAGAGCCGGGATAAGCAGATAGAAGAAAGGATGCTGTCCCACAGGCAAGATGACAACAACAGGCATTCCACCAGGCACCAGGTAGGGGCCTTGTGACAGCACAGCGGGGTCTCCTTCGCCCCTGAGCCTCTTCGCAGGCCTCTCTGGGCCTCTTGTTTCCCTGCGTGCATCCGATTGCTCTCCCAGGCGTAAACTCAGAGAGCTGACATGTGGTTTCCAAATAGTGCGCGTAGAGCAAAGCCCTTCCCCAGCCGTGGAGGGAGCCAGCTGGTTAGAATGATCGTGGTAACGTGCCGGGGTCTGATTACCTGAAAGCCCATATTTGCCATTCCGTCGCTGTCTTGCATCTTCTGCTCACCCACCAGAGCGTCCTCAGACCCTGTGCCCTTTGCGGGCACATGGGCGAGGTCACCAGGGAGACTTCTGAGCGCGTGGCACTCCCCCACCACATTGCTTCTGTCTTCCGTGAGGCCCAGGCAGCCCGGCTCTGGCCGTCTTCCTGGCTCCCTGCATGTTCAGGTCTCACTAATTGCGCCCGGTCCCTTCCTCCTCTTGAACCTGCTTTTGTCTTTCCGTCTCTTCTCCTGCCTGGGACTCTTACCCGTGCACCAAGTGGAAGAGATCATGTTTATCCTTCGAGTCCTCGCGCAGCTCTAAGCTGAGGTCGGACATCTTTCCCGCCTTCTGTGCCATCAGTGACTCCACCTCATTCTTGACGTCAGCCCTTTTTAGGTGTAGCTTTGTCACCTGGGCCTCTGTTAGGGGCTGGCTGGAGAGGAACCAGAAGGAAGCGAGGAAGAGGTGTGGCTCTGGGGACAGACAGGGCTGGCTCAGAACACTGATTCTCCTACTTGGCCGGGCAGGTCAGCTTGCCTCCCTTAACTTTATTTTTTTTATTAATAAGGCAGAATGTGGTGGTGGGAGAGTGGGTGCCTGTAATCCCAGCACTCTGGGCGGCTAAGCCTGGCAATTTAGCAAGATACCATCTCAAAAAATAAACTACAGGACTGGGATGTAGTTCAGTGCAAAAGCCCTTGATTCATATCTGCAGACTGCAAAAGAAAAAGAAGGAATGAAAAATGCCTACCTGGTGGGTGTTATAGTGCACACTTGTAATCCCAGCACTGGGGAGGCTGAGGCAGGAGGATCGATATGAGTTTGAGGCCAGCCTGTGCCAGTGGTGAGTTCAGGGGTAACCTGAATTACATAGTGTCTCAAAACAAAGCAAAACATGTCAACCTGGCTGGGTTAGCAGCTAAACTATGAATATGTAAGTACTATACCCAGTCTGTGACAGGTAGAAAGCACTCCATAAGTGTATGTGCACCCTTTCCTTGTCTATTTTAGGTTCTGTGTGTACTCAGTTTTTCTGTTTGAATCATTTTTGCATTACTGTTGACTAGTAAGCATTATTTTTCCAAAACAGTGTTCAGTAAATGCTTATGGATTGAAATCACCCTGATTCCTGTTGTTTTGGTGGAAGCTACTATTGGGATGCAGGGCTGAGACAAGAGTCTTGCTCTGTAGCCCAGGCTGGCCTTGAGCTCACAGTGATCTTTCTGCCTCAGCTGCCCGGGTGCTGGGGTGTAAGCCTGCATCGCCCCGTGCTGCCCTGCCCCAATGAGGCTACTATTTTTAATTTGTATTATTATTAAAAACTGTTACTCTGCAGCCTGGCATGGTGGTACTTGCCTGCTGAGACAGGAGGATTGCCGTGAGTTCAAGGCCAGTCTGGGCTACACAGTGAGTTCGGGGCCAGCCTGAACTACATAGTGGGGTCCTATCTCAACAACAAAAACTGCCATTCCTTAAGCCCGAATTTAAGTAGCAATAAAGATGTGATCCTAATTTGGTGCCATAAAATTGCCTTATTAGTCACATTGTGATATTCTGGCATTTTTTTTCTGTAAAAATTTTTGCCAGGCATGGTGGCATGTCTGCCATCCCAGTACTCGGGAGGCTGAGGCAGGAGGACTGCTGCAAGTGTGAGGTCAGCCTGGGCTACACAGTGAGACTACCTCTCAAAAACCGAAACAGTTGTATCTCTTTAATTGTGATACTTTTTTTTTTTGTCTTTTTCATTTTTATTGGTACCGGGATAGAACTCAGGACTGCCTGCTTGCAAGGCAGACGCTTATCCGCTGAATTAAATCCCCAGCCCCTAATTTTGATACTTTTAAAGCCTGAGTTCCTACTGAGTTTTCTATGTAGCTTTCTCAGGTTTTTCTTTTTCCTTTTAGGCACCAACAGAGAGGCAGCTGCGATATAAAGAAAAGGTGGCTGAACTTAGGAAGAAAAGAAATTCTGGACTGAGCAAAGAGCAGAAAGAGAAATACATGGTGAGAAAGGTTCAGTGCGGTGGCAGCTGCTGCTCTGCATGACTTCCAGAGAGCAGTTTGCTCTCTCCTCCCGGTGGCTGTGCAGTGAGAAGCCAGGATGCCAAGCCATGCAGTCCCCGAAGCGGGCTGTTGGGAGGGGGGCACAGGAGGCTTAGAGAAATCAAACACCATGGGAATACGTTGGGGATTGAACCCTGTGCCTTTGCACCGAACTATGTTCCCTGGTCTTTTTACAATTTTTCCAAAAAATGCAAAATTTAATTTTGAAAGTCTGTAAGTCACTGAATTGCCTGGGCAGAGTTTGAATTTGTGATCTTGCCCCTACAGCTTCCTAGAGTGCTGGGGTTATAGGTGTGCACCCCTGAATCCAGTTTTAAATTTATTTATTTTTATTTATTTATTTTTTTTTCATTTTTATCGGTACCAGGGTTCGAATTCATGACTGCCTGCTTGCAAGGCAGGCGCTTATGCCGCCGAGCTAAATCCCCAGCCCCTAAATTTATATTTTTAAAACTTAGGGTGTGGTAGCATGCATCTGTAATCCTAGCATTCGGGAGGCTGAGGCAGGAGGATCACAGAGAATTAGAGGTCAGCCTGGATTACATAGTCCTAGTGAGTTTTAGAACAGCCTGAAATACATAGACCCTGTCACAAACAAACAAAAAGATCCCATAATATTGGTGTTCTAAATCGTATAGGTAGACAAAACATGACATAAAAGTTTCTGTAGTTCTCAACCGAAGGCTGAGGCAGGAAGATCGCTGGGCTTCTCAAGGAGCTCAAGGCCAGCCTGAGTGACATGGTGAGACTGTCTCAGAAAATGAAACGAAAAGATCTTTTTAAACACTCATGAAGCTAGAAGAAATGAGTAACTCTTAAAACCTAAGCTTTAGGTAGGTGAAAGAGTCCAAATTTCATAAAGACCTAGGGGCCTGGAAGCAGATCACCAGGCAGCTGTTAGAACAGGGTTAAAGGTCTGGGGAAAGGCCTCTTCTAATGGTAATGTATGTGTGGAATCTGGCTTTTCCGGCCGCCATCAGCTCCCTTTAACTCCCAGCCTCCCCTTCCCAGGAGAGGTTGGGCGGAGTCTAGAGGGAGGGGCTAGGATCAGAGGTAAGAGGGGAGTTTTCTTGTCTGATTTCTTTCCCGGGAGCGGATACTTGCAGTGCTGGCCATGGTAAGATTTGAAAGTTAGTTAAAACTGGGTGGTTTTTATTCTTCTGATTCTCTGACTTTCTTCTTTTTAAATCTTGCTGAATATTAATATATTTTAAAAACAGTACAGCCTGTTTTTCTTGTGGGTTAGGGTTGGAGTTTTGTTTTACGGTTTTTTTCTTTATGGTTTTTGAGACAGGCTGGTTCTTAAACTTGTGATCCTCCTGCCTCAGCCTCCCAAGTGCTAGGATTACAGGCATGTGACACCATAAGCAACAATTCATAAAATTTTTTTTCCAATTCTCTCTCTCATTCTGTCTTTCTCCATTGGTTTTTACAATTTTTATTGTGGTAAAATACACATGACAAAATTTACCACTTGAATCCCTGTTTGTTTTTTTGTTTTGTTTTGTTTTGGTTTGGTTTTGATTGGTTCTTTTGGTCTCCCTCCACTCTGCAAGTACCCCTGGCTTAGGGTAGTTTGACATAAGAGTTGTTTTTTTGTTTTTTGGGGTTTTTTTTTTGTCTTTTTCATTTTTATCGGTACCGGGGATCGAACTCATGACTGCCTGCTTGCAAGGCAGGCGCTTATGCCGCTGAGCTAAATCCCCAGCCCCGACATAAGAGTTTTGATCCTGTGACCCTTGGGTTAGTTTTGGGCAGTACTGGTACAGGCCAGGCAGGCCCAGAAGCTGCCTCAGAACTTTAGCCATGTCCCTGGCAGTCTCATGCCCTTGGTGGACGGAGTCACAGGGAAGAACTTGGAGCCCTGCTCAGTCTAGCCGCCTCCCGCCTGGGATTTTCTCCCGGTCTGACCTTCCGGTGTTAGACCTGGCGGCTTGGAGAGTGAGCAGAGCGTGGCTGCATCTCCCAGCACTCGGGACTCAGATGCCCCTGGGCTCCCCGTAGTGCATGTTTTGCTAAGTCCTGCAACATTTCCTCCTGGAGAAATGGAGGCGGAGATTCTGGTGGTACTGGAGTGCACTTAGAGATAGAAGATGTCCTCTCAGGACTGTAGGGGCCCCTGTAGTCTCAGGCATCCTGGGGTGTTGGGCTGCTAAACAGGCTGCTGTGGCCCCAGTACCTGTGGGGTTGTGTCCGGTCAGCATCCACGGAGACCACAGGGCTGCTGTGTGGGGCCAGAGCCATCACGCTGCGTGTCTCCCTAGGAGCACAGGCAGACCTATGGGAACACACGGGAGCCCCTCCTGGAGAACCTGACCAGCGAGTACGACCTGGATCTCTTCCGCCGAGCACAGGCCCGGGCGTCAGAGGACCTGGTGAGTGTGTGATGGAGCGAGGCCCCTGGCGGACACATTCTGAAGGCCCGGACAGATGACTAGCGAGCAGCCTGGTGGGAATGAAATGTCCCTGGCTGCTTGAATCTCCTGCCCTTCTTTGGAGGCTGCCCTTCCCTTTCCTGTTTGAAACAAATCATATATATATATATATGTATGTATGTATGTATAGATGTATTTTTTCTTTCTCTCTCTCTCTCTCTCTCTCTCTCTCTCTCTCTGTCTCTCTGTCTCTGTCTCTCTCTCTCTCTCTCTCTCTCTCTCTCTCTCTCTCTCTCTCTCTCTCTCTCTCTCTCTCTCTCTCTCTCTCTCTCTCTCTCGGCCTACCACCCCAACTGGAAGTTGTAGGTGGGCCCCATTATTACCTGGGGGGTGCCCTTTTGTCTCCTTTTGCAATTCGGAGAGCACGGGGCCTGGCAGTGGTCCTCCTTTGTCTCCATGATCACCCAGCAGGACCTCCCGCTGCAGGGTTTCCTCACAGGTCTCTGGCTAACCTTGTAGAGCTTCAGTGATGGGAATGGCCTGCTGGGGTGCTGCACCATAGGTTCACCACCCCTGCCCTGAAACCATGACAGTAACCAAGGCAAAAGGAAGGAAGGGTTGTGGGTCTATGTTCTTGATTGTTTTTTGAGATGGCTTTCCATGCCATGGAGCTTACGTTGCACAGGTCGGCTTTAAACTCAGGCACAGCAGTCTTCCTGCTTCAGCCTCCTGAATGCTGGGAAGCCAGGTGTGGTGGCACACTTGTATTACTAGTGCTGGGGAGGCTGAGGCAGGGGGATCACTATGAGTTCAAGGCCAGTCTGGGCTATGTACACTCTTGTATCAAAAAAAAAAAAAAACAAAAAAACAGACTTTGCCAAGGACAAGTTTGAATGTCTTTCCATTTCATTTACATTCAGCTCACAGTCAGCTGGTTTCCCTGGGTGGAATTTTTAATAAATATGGATGAAGAAGATTCTTTTGATGGGGTTATTCTCTGATTTAACAGATTAAAATGTGTCGAGGGCAGTGTAGTTTGTAAAGTGAATCTCTGTCCAGCCCTGCTGGCCCCCTTCCACCCATTTAAAATTCCGCCCAGTCCTGGGCTGGAAACTTGTAGGAGGCAGTGTCCCTTGGCTTCCCCTCTCCCATTGGGCTGCTGCCACTGCTGTTGGTCCCTGCCCCCACCTTCTAGAAAGCAGTGCCCAGGCCGCCCTACCACCCTGTGCCGCCCTGTGCCGAGTGACCCTCCCAAACCACCTGTGGTCAGCTCACTGCCACCAAAGGAGCTGGAGACACACAGATGTTTTTCTTCCTCCATAGATCGCAAACTTGTCATCCAGACTTCAAAACAATTTTATTTTCAAAAATGGTTTTTAAAGTGCTTACTATTTAATTTTAGAAGTGGGTCTGTGTGAGATTCATACAACTTTATAAAACACTTCTGCAGGCACATAAGGCACTGTTTTTTTTTTTGTTTGTTTGTTTTGTTTTGTTTTGTTGGTACTGGGGATCAAACTCATGACTTAAAGCTTGCCAGGCAGGCACTTGTGCCTCTGAGCTAAATCCCTAGTGCTGGCGCTTTTTCTTCCTCTCTATTTTTTTATTTTGTTTTTGTCTTTTGAGACATAGTTCTCACTATGTGCTATGCAGTTCAGGCTGTCCTTGAGCTTACTTTGTAACCCAGGCTGGTCTCAAACTTGCAAAGATCCTCCTGCCTCAGCCTCCCAAGTACTGGGATAATAGGCATATGCTACCACTCCCCACAGGACACTGGCTAAATCATCTCCTCTGTTTAGTTTCAGAGTGATTATATTTGGTAGATTACCTTTCTGATTCAGTGTGCTTTAAGGCTGATACCAGGGGTAAAAAAGTATTCTGGACTCAGTATGATGGAGCCCAAGCATGTGGCCTCTGCCTGGTGCCCTGCGCCCAGCCCCTTCAGTGTGAGCCGCTTGTGGGTCGAAGCCAAATCTGTCTGAGTATGCTCGTCACCTGGGCACGGTGGCCTGTACGCGGGCTTATGGTACCGCAAACCCTACCCCTCCTCTGACTCTGCACTCCCTGGCCACAGGAGAAGCTGCGACTGCAAGGGCAGATCACCGAGGGTAGCAACATGATTAAGACGATCGCCTTTGGCCGCTACGAGCTGGACACGTGGTACCACTCTCCTTACCCTGAGGAGTACGCGCGGCTGGGCCGGCTCTACATGTGTGAGTTCTGCCTGAAGTACATGAAGAGCCAGACCATACTCCGCCGGCACATGGTGAGTCGCCCTGGGTCCCTCTGCCGGCCGTGGTAGCCATGTGGCCTCTCTGGATTTGGCCTTAGATGTGACACCCTGCCTAGCAGCTCTCTGCAGTCACAGAAGTGGGCTGAAGGCGCAGGGAATCAGTGTCCACTTTTGAGGACCGGAGCGTGCAGCCAGGCTGGCACTGCGTGGCAGCCGAAGGTCCTTACCCAAACCCTGTCACGAACCGCCCTGTCTTCTTTCTTCCCCAGGGCGTGAGTTACCTGTGCCTAGTCCCAGACTCACTGGAAGCCTGGGGCAGGCAGGGCAGGGCAGGAGCCCCGGGGCTCCCCTTCTGGGTGCTGAATGCTTTGTCTCCCAGGGAGACCAGTGTGTGACCGAGCGGGAAAGAGCAGAGCACGTCCCATCGGGCCTCAGTTCACTCCTTTCTGGGTCTTGAATGTATTTCTTCCCATTGAGATAGGAATAAAAACTTGAATCTTTCTTATTGATAAATATGCTTGCTAGATTTTTTTCTCAGCTTTCAGCCATTTTTCTTTCCCTAGGTTTGGAATAAAAGCTTTGTCTTAAGAGAACTTCTGCTATGAAGTAGGGATGGGAAGCACAACACATAAAGGGATAAAGACCACACACCCCCCCCTTTTTTTTAAATGACAGGATCTCACTTTGTATTTCAGGCTGGCTTTGAATTCACTGTGTAGTCTAGCCTGGCCATCCTCCTGCCTCAGCCTCCTGAGTCCTGGGAGTATAGATGTGCACCACCAGCCTGACATGGATTGTGATTGTTGATTGACAGAACGTCACAATAAAAGCATTTGATTAAAACCGCCAACATATATAGAATTTTAAAAACAGTTTTGGGGTGGTACTGAAGTTTGAGTCCAGGGCTTTCGGACTGAACTGCGTCCCGGCTCTTACTTTTTTATTTCAAGACAGGGTCTTGCTAAGTGGCCTAGGCTGTCTCTTGCCTCACCCTCCCAGAGCCACCACTATGACTACTTTTAAACATTTCAAAATGTATTTATTTAAGTTTGCCTAGTCACAGCAGTGGCTGGCTGTGTTAACACTGCAGACAAGGCTAGAGCTGTAGCTGAGGGATAAGAGCTTGCCCTGCATGCCTGAGGCGCTGGGTTCAATACCAGAAAGTGCCCTTCAGTGAGGAAAAGGGGGTGCATTGTCCCCCTTGTGGTCATTTGCCCCCCAGCCTTCTCCCACTCTGCCAGGCCACTGTATCTCAGGGGGAAGTGGCGGGACTTTCCCTTAGGCCTCCTGTGTAACAGTCCGTCTGCACGGCCCAGGACAGATAGTGGTTGTTGGTTGTCTTTATCATTGTGGGTCCCTTTTCTAATCTGAAAAACAGCCCAGTAAAGGTGAGAGTAAAGTGCACTACTTAGCAACTCTAAGCTGCTGGAAGTCAGCTGCTTAAGAATTTCCTGTTAGCCTGAGACCTTTTATAATAAGCGAAGTGTTCTTATCTGTGTGGCTTTTACAGACTGGATGATCTTAATCTCCTGTGCTGAGACAGCACCAGGACGGAATCCAGAAAACTTGTTCCAAACTGCTGTAAAAATGCCACGAGTGGATCCCAATGACTGTTGAAGGCTTTGTTTGTTTTACTGGAAAAAGAAATCTGTTTTGCTGCATGGCTTCAAGTTAACCAAATCTGACCTGTGGTTGTTTTTCCCTTTGAGGCGCCACTCTCGGAAGTGGGCTGGGGTTCCTTGATGTAAGTCCTTTCTCTTGCAGGCCAAGTGTGTTTGGAAACACCCGCCTGGAGACGAGATATATCGCAAAGGCTCCATCTCGGTGTTTGAGGTAGACGGCAAGAAAAACAAGGTAAGACGTGGCAGCCCAGGAGAGGGCGGTGGGTTGGTGGGGGGGGGGCCTCACACAGCTTCCCCAAGGGGTATGTTCAGTCCTCACCGTGCCTTGAAAAAGAGCACGGATAGTTCACGTGAGCAGAGGAGCCCCTGGCCACAGAGTCTCTCTCTGCTTCTAGATCTACTGCCAAAACCTGTGCCTGTTGGCCAAGCTTTTCCTGGACCACAAGACATTATATTATGATGTGGAGCCCTTCCTGTTCTACGTGATGACGGAAGCGGACAACACTGGCTGTCACCTGATTGGATATTTTTCCAAGGTCAGTGGGTTCTGGAGAGGAGACTGTTGGCTGGAGGAGGGGGATGGGTGCCTTTGGGGGCTCCGATCCCCGATAGGGAGAGGCAGTATCCTGGACAATGGTCAGCCATAAGAGAACAGGGAAGCCCATGTATCAGAGCTCACTTAATGAAAACGTTCAGTTCTTTACTAAAAGCTTCTGGCATACCTTTTGGACTTGCGGGCTGGAGCTGCCTATTAATTACTGGCTCAGCGCTCCCTCCTAACCCTCAAGCCCACATCTTGTAGTCCAGCCAACTCTGCCTGCTTTGCCATCTATGTCATCATTTAAAACCAGGAATAAATTCTGATCACTGGTTCTTTAGCTAGGCTTCCAGCACAGCTCCTGAGCATGCGTGCCCCCATGCTGGATGTGGCTCATGGCTTTGGCATGACAGCTTAATTGAAACAGTTCACGCAATGAGCAGCTCTCTGGCCCTAGGCAGCCCAGCTCGGTGGGGTTTAGCGTGTGCACTGTCACTTGGCCACTGTGCACTTGGCACGGTTTTTATCTCGAAGTGCTGCACATGGCGGAAAGAGCAAGGCCTCATGTCCACTTACCCTCCTCGCCTGTCCCCGTGACTTTGCCTGTTCCAGGCATTTCACAGACAGAATCCTAGAAAATGTGATTTGGTCCAGTTTTGAACCCAAAGGAAGCACTTCTGTTTTGTCTCTTCGCCTTATCTCCTGGTAGACGGCCTCCCTCCTTTTGAAAGTCTGCTTTTAGAAAGGGCGGCTGTAGACTGACTCCACAGTCTTGACCTTGATTTGCTCTGTGGCCATCAGGAAGCCAGAGCTGGCTCCTTAAAATGAGACCAGAGGTCTCTGAGCTCAAGAAACCTTGGGACTCAAGGCTTTGGCCATCAGGAAGGGTGAGGTGCTGATCGCCACCATCTAGGACTGGCTATGGGGGCTTTCGCAGGAAGCCTCATTGTGTGTTTGTGGGGAGCAGAAGCCTTTGGTCCAAACTCTTCTGACCTGCAGACTCATTTGCTTTTGCTTTTAGGAAAAGAACTCATTCCTGAACTACAATGTATCCTGCATCCTTACCATGCCTCAGTACATGAGACAGGGCTACGGCAAGATGCTCATTGACTTCAGTAAGTGAAGCTACTCCCGAGGCAGGGACCCTGTGAATGTTGTCATCTGCAATTCCTGCTGGGTGTGCAGCAAGTGGGGAAAGCTGGATCTGTTAGCTGGGAGACAGTCTGAGTGCTTTGGTGGTCACCTACACCAAGCACAGTGCGGTCAAATGGAGTTCCTGGAAAGGTGACTCCCAGCTGCCTTTGATAGAGTGCCCTGTTTAGCTCTTGTGCTGTGACAGATGTTCGCAGTTCCTTAGGTCCATTTTGGTTGGTGATTTTAATGGCCCCTAGCCTGGCACCACGTGGCTGTTCCCAGCACAGGAAGCCTGGGGACACTGAGGTGAGCTGCAGGCCCAAGCGAGTTCCCGTCTGCGTCCCTGAACACAGGGTGACCCTGGCCCATAGCAGTTTGTTTTGCGGGTTTGATGCCACACTTGGGTCTGAGCAAGAGATCACTCCGAATTTGAGGTCATCCTGGGTTACATAGCGAGAACCTGTCCCAATAACTAACGTTTGAAGATTTCAAATACATGAAAAGCTCCACAGTAAAGTGGCTTCCCCTTTCCGTTCCCCATCTACCTTTTTTTTTTGTCTTTTTATCGGTACTGGGGATCGAACTCATGACTGCCTGCTTGCAAGGCAGGTGCTTATGCCACTGAGGTAAATCTCCAGCCCCTCCCCATCTATCTTGAGAAAAGACCTTGCTATGTGGTTCCAGCTGGCCTCGAACTCACTGTGTAGCCTGGACTGGCCTCAAACTCAGGATGACCCCTGCCTCAGCCCCCCAGGGCTGGGACTAGTAAGAATGGCCCCAACACCCAGCTAGCACTTCTTTATTGATGTCTGCTCTGGGGATTTTTTTTAATGGCTCTTACAAGTAATGCACTTCCATATTCCCCACCCCACCCCCCGGCTTGTCAGAGAAGCATGTCCCACTGAAAGGCTGACCCACTGCACAGCGGTTTGCTTAGTGAAGCCTTCCACGTTAGCACTCTGCTCTGTGCCGTTAGGATGAGGCACAAGGTTGCTAGAAAAAGTATGTTTGTTCCCCGGCAGGTTATTTGCTTTCCAAAGTGGAAGAAAAAGTGGGCTCCCCAGAGCGCCCGCTCTCGGACCTGGGGCTCATCAGCTACCGAAGTTACTGGAAAGAAGTGCTGCTCCGCTACCTGCACAATTTCCAGGGCAAAGAGATTTCTATCAAAGGTTGGTGTTCGACTGCTTCAACGCTGGTTAGTCCCTCCCCTAGCTTTCCTGCTGGGTCCTGGTCACGCTTTGTCACCTGTACACACAGCGCTGGTCTCTGTGCCCTGTGGCTGGGGAGGGGTGGCCCCTAAGTGAGGCCACTGCAGAGCCCCTCACCGGAGCTCTGGGATGCTTGAGAATTAGTTTCTCATTGCTGGAGCTGCCAGCACTTTAATTCTTACAAAAGTCCAGAAGAAAACTTCCAAGTATTTTGACACACGCGCGAGAGCTTTTGAGACAGCAGCCTTTGCCTTGCCCAGTGGAAGTGGAGAACCAGGTTCGGTCTGCATCCAGCCTTGGTCTCTGAGGGGCCAGAGTAGCTTCTTGGTGAAACACAGGCTCCAGCAGAGTCACCCCGGCCACTCTGTGCACAGTCTCTGGGCAGATCGAGGGCCACACACCCTAGCCCTTGGGAGTCCCCCAGAGGAAAGGCCCATCGGGAAGAGACGGGGTGCCTGTTGTCTGAGCTGGGTCTCAGGAGCACTTGTGTTTCAGAAATCAGCCAGGAGACGGCTGTGAACCCCGTGGACATCGTCAGCACTCTGCAGGCCCTTCAGATGCTCAAGTATTGGAAAGGGAAACACTTGGTTTTAAAGAGACAGGTGAGGCTTCCAACAGCTTGCTTGGTGTTGCTTAAGAAGGGGTAGAGCCCGCTGGGTCTGACCGCTGGAGAGAATTTCCCTTCTTTTTTTTTTTTTTTTTGGTCTTTTTGAGGCAAAGTCTCACTGTGCACGTCAGGCTGGCCCTGAGCTCATAACAATTCTCCTGTCTCAGCCTCTCAGTGGTTGGGATTACAGGCCTGTGCCACCACACCTGGCCCCATTTATCTTTATCAGGACCTGTTGGTGGCTCCTGCCTCAAATCTGGGTGACACAAATTAAGCAGCGTTTTGCTGCGTACCACTTCTGACATTGGATGGTTTTCCTGGACTGGGAAAAGCCCTGAGACTGTCACACAGATGCCATCTCCACTCATGCCCACTTTAGAATTTCTTAGTTGACTGCTCCATGTAATGAACTAGGTGAATGGTTTTCACTCCTCACTCCAGGCAAGGTAGGATGGAGTGGGTGAGGTAGGAGAGCAGTTCAGAGATGAAGAGAGAATATTTTTTGCTGGTTCACACCTGTGACCTCAGCACTCAGAAGGTTGAGGCAGGAGGATTGCTGTGAGGTTGAACTCCATGCGAAGTTGAAGAGACCCAGCCTCAAACAGATGAAGCTACTGTTTTCTGTACCTGAACAAGCTGTGAAGCTTGGCAGTTCCTTCCTGTCCAGTCAGTAGTAGTTCTGGAATCTGTGGGTCCAGGCGTGGTGTCTAATGATACTTCTTGTTCTTCCAGGACCTGATTGACGAGTGGATAGCCAAAGAGGCCAAACGGTCCAACTCCAATAAAACCATGGATCCAAGCTGCTTAAAATGGACCCCTCCCAAGGGCACTTAAAGTGACCCATCATTCTGAGCCAGCGAACCCCAGCAGTAGGAATCCATCCCCTAGGGATCTGTCTGTCATTTCTGTCGCTCTCGTGATTGGCAAGTGCAGTACCCTTTGGGAAGGCCACGCCCCTCAGGACTGTCCTGGCTCCGCCCTCGTGTACACTGCAGACGCTGGTTCTGAGGAACTGTTGTTTCGGCCTCAGTGAGGTTGCCCGGATGGGACCGCGCCGGCATGGGCTGCGGCTCCTGCATAGCACTGACCCAAGGAGTTCTGTTCTGGTACTGTACCTGTCCAGTCACTGGTTCCGCCTCATGTCCTCTGCCCCATGAGGTGTGTCGTGTCCGCTGAGCTTCGTTCTAGTGCTTCTTGCCACCTGGTCACCAGACCTCCCAATAACGGTTGCCATGGCCAGGACCTTCGTGGTGGCCACTGCCACACGTGTCTGGGGAGCGGCTGGCAGGGGTGGCACTTGGCAGAGGGGGGGGGGGTCCGTGGGCTCACCAGGAGGGGGCCGTCCACCTCAGGTGGCACCTCACTGACCCTTTTGCGCCTCTCTTTATGTCCGTATCGGTGTCGGGCTGATCAGAGCTGAGGACTCGCGGGGAGCTTGTTGGCAGTTCGAGGGGCGGCCACACTGTGTTTACCTGCCTGTGGCGGTGGGCAGAGTCTCGGTGGAAGAGGACGGAAGCTGCTTTTCGCCCCACTGAAAAGTGCCCGGCAGTGGACGTGCTCTCCCTGCCTGCTTGGCCCTTTTTACTCCTGCAGGTGCCAAAGTGATTCCCAGTGCTCCCCGCGGTGCCCCATGGTGACTGGTGGGCTCAGCCACGCACCTCCGCCAGCCTTTGGGGGGGGGGGGATTTGCCCTGGAGCCCCTGGGAGAAGCTACGGGTGATTGGGAGAGGGTGGCTGGGAGCAATTCCCATGTTGCCCGGGACCCCGCGAGGCAGGGCTTCCGGCGCGCAGCAGCAGCGTAGCCCCCTGGTGGAGGACGCCGCGCTCCGCCCCTCTGAACTGCTGCTCCTCCCTTTTGGGCTGTGCTGCCGTGCTCCCCTCCGGTCTCCTCTATTTTCGGTGTTGTCTGAGTGCAGGAAGAGACTCTCCTCTAATTTCCCCGCGCCCGTTATAACCTGCTATCTTGGGGCAGCCTTTGATGTCTGACGCGTCGCCCTTCCCAGCTCAGTCTCCTCCGACACCGCCGTCTTTGCGCGGCATCCTCACCATGATCCTGACTCTGGTCATTTGTGCCTTTCTCTCGTCATCTCTGTACACTACTTATACTCACTGTGGGTTTTGGGGAGCTGTTGAAGCATGTTCTGTGGTGGCTCCCCTCCAGTGTCACTGTCCCAGTCTCTCCAAAAGCAACCTCACCGGGGTTTTGTTATGGGGTGAAGGCCTTTTGCGGACGCCACGTCCTCCTCCACGTGTGGTAGAATGTGCTCTTCTGTATCTACTCAATAAAGCATGTTCTCTGCTCACGGCTGCCTCCCGGACTCGTTTGTGTGTGGCAGTGCCGCAGCGGGCCTGCTGCTCCTGTCACCACACTGGGTGGGGACTCCTTCTCTCTGGCAAGAAACCATTGAGAGGCAGCTGGCAGCCCCGGGGCCACGCTGTCCCTGAGACGTGGCCATCTGCAGAGGGAGTAGGGCTTTCTCTGAACCTTTGTGGTGGGTGGGACACGTTCCATCTACCTCCCCGGGTGCCAGCTCACCGGTGCACGGAGCTCGTTGCTGGTCCATGTGACTCACGCTTTCGCTGAGGTCACTTCCTTCTGCTCTAGGGGGAGGGGATCCAGCTGGAGGTTAGGAGAGGTGGGGACCAGTGGGAGGTAGCAGCAGATGTCACCTTCTGCCACTCAGCATGTTTGCCTGTAGTGAGCTGTCACCTTCCCCTTGTCCCCCTCCCAGCTTGTATTTCTCAACATTTCCTGTGCATTTACCTGTAGCATTTACCAGGGTGGGAAGGAAGCAAGGCCGGGCGCTGTGGCAGGGAGGAGGCAGTGGGAATTGTGTTTGCTGGGGTGCTTTTGCTGCAGCTGGGAGTGCTGGGGACCCATTCCCCCAGCCCCTCAGGCAGACCAGGATCCTTTAGAGCCTGAAATCCCAGCTACTCAGGCTGAATCAGGAGGATTGCAAGTCTGAAGCTAGCCAGGGCAACATAGCAAGAAAATCGTTCCAAAAGTCCCATGTGCCTCGTACTGAAGGGTAGGGAGTAAGATGGGGAAAAGCTTACGGTTGTAAAAGGACCCTGTATTCACCCTTCTTCATGTATACTCAAGCCTCCCTGTCATAAATATTTGTAGCAAAGAGAAATTTTGCAACTACAATTTGAAAAAATTGAAGCAGGTAATGATGGACCATGTGGTAGGGGTTTTGTGCACACACTGACCCCAGCCCTCCAGGCTGGCTGCTCCCCTAAATATTAATGGAAGCCTTCTGGCTCAGACCCCTCACAGGTATGGGAAGGACTTTTTACCTCCTTGGCTGCTTGCAGCGAGGTTCTGTCTCCTATAATGCTTTATCTAAAAGCTTCTTTGCATGAAAGCTTAGCTGCTCAGGCTCTTCCTGAGAAGGGGCAAAAGTCTGCACTTGCCCCAGGATCCAGTTCTGAAAACCCACCTGGAGCTCGCCCTGCTGGAGGTGCCTTGTTCCAGGCTTCCATTGCAAGGATATGGACGAAGCTGGTGGAAACACCCAAAAGAGTTGATTTTACTGAGTTTTAGCAGTAGTAAGTTGGGGGTGGGGATAGAAGGTGAGCCCAGGAAGCAGAAGACATGCCTGGCTTAGTGACGCAGTGTAGGTTTTATAGGGCAGGGTGCTTGTACGTGGCCTAGACTTTATTGGCCCCTGCAGCCCAGGCAGGTGGCATCATGGCTGGGCTTGGGAATGACCCGGAGCAGAGCCAGTTTGTCCAGAAAGATTGGAGCTGTGCACACAGAAATCAACCGCAGTTTGCTCGTGGTGCACATTCCTTCTGAAGCACTGGACAGACAGAATGGGTGTTAGTGACCCGGGGTGGCCCTGGACCTCCCTTTAGAGGACTATGCAAATAGCACATTTGCAGTTCAGGAAACTACCTTTGAAGTCCATTCGTGGACGTGGGGTTAAGAAGCCCGGGTTTGAAAAGCCCTAGGAATGCTTTCTGCCTTCCTGCTTATTCCAAGACCTTAAGCTGATTCTGTCGTATGCCTGGGCTTAAGGGCCTGGTTGCACTATAAGGGGAGGTGACAAGGATGAAGCCTGGCTCGATGTGGCTGAGCCTCACCGATGGGCCTCAGTGGGACATGCATACCGAACAGTCTGTGTGTCATGAGAACGAAATATGGAAACTGCTTTTGCTAAGTAATAGTCTGTGATGCCTGCTAGGAATTTTAGGAACTACCGTTGCTGTTTGTCCAGATTGTGGAACTCTAGAACTGAACCTCAGCTGGGTTTGCTTCAGCACTTTTGGCCGCAAACATAGATGGCTGCCCCTTCCAGACCATTTCCTGCTGATGGGGGCAGCGTAATTGCTGCCTTCCCTTGTGGTGTCTTTGGCCATGCCAGTGAATGTCACTAAGAAGGAAACAAAGGCTCGCCCAGTGGTGAAAACTGCCCCGGTGCCCGAACATCAGTGTCTCCCTCCCTCTGTGCAGTGCCATTGGATACAAGTCACGCTGCCACCATCTGGCACTTGGGGGTTTTTTACTGGTGCCCAAGAATGGAGAAAATAACGCATGCTGTTCTTCAACTGTGGCTCTGGTGCTCCTCCCAAGTGTTCCCTGTGAGATATAAACACCTTTATCCTCAGCAAGTCAACAGTTCCAAGAAGCCAGCCTTTGTTCTTGTTTCTGAGCACAGCGCCCCCATTTATTCCAGATCAGAAAAGTCCCTTCCGAGGTGTCTCCAAAGATGGCAGCTGATGGGCTCTATCCTGGTGTGGCTGGGCTGGCCTGTGCCATGTCTCGACTCCTGGAATGCCCCGGAAGTGATTTCTTGTAGCTTCCAGGTTTTGCCACTGGCATTGAGCTGATGTGCTTCCAAACCAGGGGCTTGAGGTAGACTGCTGAGTGAGGAGAGGGCCCTGACACTGGTAGTTAATACCAGGCCCCACCCTTGGGTTTCCTGGAGGTGGCAGTGCCACAAGACTGAACCCTGGATGCAGCCTGGTCAGTGTTCCCTGCTGATGCTCCAGGAAGATAATAAAATATGGAGCCCAGACCCACCGACCCATGAAACCATGAGGCACACCGTTCTAAGTCACGTTTTGGGTTGCTTCTGTAGATAGCAGGGAAACTAAAGGGCTAGCGTCAGGTCTGGCCTTGTCACCAGAAGGTGTGCACCACGGAGGACGCTCACCTTGTGGCATCCCTGTGGAGGTGACACTCAAGAGTTGGCTGAGCCCCAGGTTGGCCACTGCATTATCAGCTGTTGGTCAAATTGCCCCAAGGCCTCCGGTTGACCTTGGGAGCCTTGATCTCCCTAAGTGGGTCAGGAGGAGTGAAGACAGAATGTATGTGGCTCCCTGCGCTCTTTGGCTTGGTTCCTGTTTACCCTGGCTCCCAAGCCGTTCCATATGCTGACTCACACATGGCTTACACACCGCCTCCTCCTGCAGCCCGACCAGCCCAGGGTCCCGCTCTGTACTTCCTGGGAAGACCTCGATCTCAGCTCTCCCCAGATGCATCCCATTAAATACCAAAGTATTAGCAAAGGGTCCTGCGGTCCAGTACATTCGGAAAGCACCAAGTGAAACACTGGAAGGTTTCTTGATTTACGGGCTTCTCCAAGCCTGCAGGAAGCTATGGACATTGGGGTTTTCTGAGAGGGAGAGAGGATGTAACAGTTTCTAAAATGATTTCACCACGAAGGGGTCTCTGCTGGTATGGTGGGGCTCAGACTTCGGGAAACGGGCGCAGTTTTTTGGGGGCCACAGATACAGCTCAGCAGCACAGTTCCTGCCTGGCAAGTGTGAGGTTGTGAGTTCGATTCCTGGCACCAAAAAAGTTCCTTTGGTGCCGTCCTTGTAATAGTAACACCTGGGAGTTGTAAGTGTCAAGGCCTGGCCTCCATTTCCTGTGTGACTTAAGGGAGTGGCTTGCTGTCACCTGCAGAATGCTCAATGCACAGTTGTCCTGAGTGACCTTGCAGAGGGCCTGGGAGGCCCTGTCTTGGCACACAGATGCCTAACAGTGGTGTGGGGAAAATGTCAATGAGGGAGGGGACAAAGTATCCTAAAGCACAGCAGGAGGGAATCAACTGAGCTGGGGTACTGGGGCAAGGAGGTTTGTTTGTTTTGTTTTGTTTGGGTTCTGGGGCTGGAACTCAACCTTCTACATGCCAGGGCTGTGCTTGTGCTGCTAAGCTAAATCCCTGGTGATGCTGAGTCTTGAAAAGGGCCTTTGTCCTGGGACCCAGAAGCTGAGTACCCTGGGGTAAACATGTACCCAGGCTGTGTGTGGGCCCCAGGCAGCCAGCGTGGTGTGTGAGCGAAGACCCGGGTAGTGGGCATGATGGGTAAGAAAGGCAAATCCCAGAGACACAGAGCCCTGACCCTAGGACTGTAATAAACTGGCCAAAAAGGCTGAATGTGATCCAGTGTGCTGCTTTAAAAGGTAATAGTGGAGCCAGGTGTGGTACACAGCCTGTAATCCCAGTGCTCAGGAGGCTGAGGCAGGAGGATAACCTTGAGTTTGAGACCAGTCTGGGCTACATAGTGAGACCCTGTCTCCAAAAAAAACCCCTAAAACCCACAGTGGAATGTGCTGGCATCAGCAGCACATGCGCTAAAGGTGGCAGCGGAGGCAGGACAGGGTGGGCAGCTGGTAGTGAAATGGGCAGCCACCCTGTCACAGTGATGGGCAGAGGTGGCTGCTGTTAGCATGAGAGTGCGGGTGGCAAATGTGGATGAGTCTGAGGTAGGCAGTGGAGAATCAGCAGCCACGGGATGCAGGGTGAGGAGTGGGCACCTCTTCAGCAGCTGAAGAGGCAAGCTCAAGGCTGGGGGTTTAGCTCAGTGTCATAAGCACTTACCTGACAAGCACAAGGTTGTGAGTTCGATCTCTGGTACCAAAAAAAGAGGCAAGGTCAGATGTCACTAGGCCAGTGTTCTGTCCCTTAGCTGTGTCCCTCAGGCTTGAACACAGGGTGCTAGCACTGAGCTGCATCTCCAGCCACTTTTTATTTCAAGACAAGATCTCACCAAGTCACTCAGTTTTCCGGCCTGGGCTCAACCTTGTCATCCTGTCTCAGCCTCCCAGAATGCTGGGGTTACAGGTATATGTCACCACACTCCGCTCCAGCTCTTTCTGAGATTTTATTTTTTGAGACAGGGTCTCCCTGTGCAGTTCAGGCTGGCTTTGAACTCAGACGATTCTCCTGTATCAGCCTCCCGAGTGCTGGGATTACAGATGTGTGTCACCTTACTCAGCTTCTATCTTTTTTGGGGGAGGACAGGATCTTGCTAGGTTGCTGATGCTGGCTTTGAACTCACGATGCTCTGATATATCACCCTCCTAAATAGCTGAAGTATTACAGACATCTGCCACTGTGCTTTGCTTTTCTCTCCATCTATTTATTTAGTTTTGACTTTCTTTGAGACGGGGACTCACTATGTAGCCCAGGTTGGCTTCAAACTTGCAGTGATCCTCCTGCCTCAGCCTCCTGAGTTCTAGGTTTACAGGTATGTGCCTTTCTTTTAAAAAAACAGCCTACCCTGATCTTCATCCCTGTCCCTTATCACAAAGAATCAAACGCCCAAGCCAAGTGTGATGGCACAGCTTAAAAAAACCTAATGATGTACAAAGTTAGCAAGACTCTGTCTTCAAAAACAAGAGTGGGGATGTGGAAGCAAGGGCCTTGGGTTCAATCCCCAGTATCAGGAAGTTGAAAAACAAAAATCCCACTCTCAGAGTAACACATTTTCCTGCATCTTGTAGTCCAGTGACAGTGCCTCCTCTTTACTGCTGAGCTCCTGTCCAGCTCAGTCCTGGCCTGGCCTGGCTTGGCTCAGGGAGGGACCTGCGACCTGTCTAAGCATCCCGGAGTCCTCTGTGTCCCCGCTGCCTCTGCACCAGCACAGGGACACGGGCCTGTCCATCAGACACTGATTGCAGGTGGAAGCCCCTGGCAGGGCACCAGAGCCCGTTCTGAAAGCAAACCAGAGACTTGCAGGACCACCTCCCACTGGGAAGCTGGCCATGATGGGGGCCCAGTTCTCCACAGGAGAGGTGAATCGAACCCCTGCGGTCCTGGCTGTGCAGGGAAGACAGTGTCTTCTTTCAGGTTCAGCCATGGGGCTTCTGCTCTGAAATCACTCCTGCCCTCTGGTGACAAGCTTTCCTTTCCACCTGAGGACAGTGCCTGGGCAGTGTATTCTGAAAAAGCCCCCAGCCAGCATCCTGCCCTCTGCCCTGCACCACACAAGAAGCCACAAATGGTCATTCATTTATTAGACCCCAACCCAGCATCAAGTGTGGGGTATGGAGTGCCAGGCTGGCCCCGAGACGCTGTCACAGAAGTTCGAGGGAGGACAGGGTTGCTCCAGCTCTGGAGAATGGCCCAGCACATCTGTACAACCACCACTGTCCACTGCTGAGTCCTGGAAGAAACTCTTTGAATCCAGCAAGTGCCAGCATGCAGGACAGGAGACGCGAGGTGGAGTCGGCCCACCGCCAGGTCTGCTGTCCCCGAGGAGAGGAGGTGACGTTCTCTGGGAAGCGTCCTGTGGGGCCTCTCACTCTGAACCCGGGTCCTCCCGCTCCGAGCCTGGGGAGGGCACTGTAGGAGGTGAGCAGTTAGGGAGTACTGTCTGGCCCTTCGACCGGGCACCTCTCTCTCATGTTCCTGCTGTCTGCAACTCGGGCAGTGGACCATAATTCACCCACCTATCTTCAGTCCATGGCAGACGCCACGGGCCAGAGAGGGAGCCAACCCCAGCTTTCCTCTCTAAAGGGGACAAAGACATTCTAAAGATGCCAAGGTGTTCCTGTGGACATGGGAGGTGTCATGGGCCAGGAAACCAGAGGCACAGCCCTGTCTGTCCCTAGCTCACTACTGACTGCAGGTAAACTTGCTTCTCGGTTCTGAAAAGTGACAGCTGCCGAGCTCACACCATGCGTGGAGGACGCTCAGTTCTGTTTGGCACCAGGGTGGCGTCCAGAGCTTTTGAATGGGCTGGCTCAGACGCTTTGAGAAAATGTCAGGGAAAAACAGAGGCTGGGCTCATCTTTAGTCCCAAGAGCCAGGGTGAGAATAGGGGGTAGGGGGCAGAGGTTCATGGCATGGGGCACAAGGTCGAGCACTGGCGAACACAGCCCAAAGCTTGGGCTAACCACTGGTTGTTTTTTCCAGTACTGGAGATTGAAATCACCACTGCATGCTTGCAAGGTAGGCGCTTATGCCACTGAGCTAAATTCCCAGCCCGCTGTTTGGCCTCTGAGACACTGTTTCACTATGCAGTTCAGACTGGCCTTGAACTCTCAGTGATTCCCCTGCCTCAGCCTCCACCGCTGGGATTATAATCATGTGCCACCACATCCAGTGACCAGTTTTGTTTGATGCTTTTTCTATTTGTATTCCTGGGGATCTAACCCAGGGCCTCACTCCTGCAAAGTAAGCCCTCTAACACCGAGCTCCCCCGCCACCAGCCCTGATGTTCTGACACTGGGCCAACAATTGCTCTTCCTTGGAGGTGGCTCACAGAAGCTGGGGCCCCTCCCCAGCCTGATTCACTACCCAACACTCCTACCTGGCCCCTAGGATTCTGCCCCTGGGGTAACTGTGTAACACAGCACACACCCTGGGGGCCCACGCTCAACGACAGAGGGTGACAGCAGAGAATGTCTTAGGACTCCAGGCCTGATCCCTTAAGGGTCAGTGACGAGGCCTTCAAGGGCAGCCAGGGAACATGGGAGCTGCAGGATCTGGTATTCCATGTGCCCAGCTGGCTCTGGGGATGGGCCAGGGGCTAGGGCTGAGGAGGGCGCAGCTTCAGGACCATGGCTCTTTGAGTCCCAGGTCATCAGTGGCCCCCTCCCTGCACCTGAGCTGCCCTCGCTGTGGGGCCTCCCTGTAAGGGCTTCTGGGACTCTTTTCTGTCCACTCGCTTTCCTTTGTTGTCCATGCCACCCATGGACATGCACAAGCAGCTCTGGCCTACCTTCTGTCGAGAGCCTCCCTCTGCCCAGGAGGCCTTGTTTGTAACAGCTGGCCAGGTCCTAGCTGCCCTGGCAAGGGCCGGGGAGGAGGAGAACTGAGGCAGCAGAGGGTAACGAGGGAGGGGCAGGGACCAGACGGGTCCATGGCTGGGCTTTGCAAATGTAGTCACTGCTCAGCCACCGGCCCTCCCTCCCATCCTGCCCCTTCCACACCCCGTGGTGAGGGGGTTGGACGTGATCCTGAGGGCACGTGGGCAGGCTGTTTGGTTGTTTCCTTTGGCTCTGTTTTGCCCTTTCTGCTCAAAGATCTTTGCCACACCCTCCCTCTGCACAGGGGATTCAGCTCCAAGCACTCTTATCTGTGGTGGTGGACTCATTTTCCCCTCCCCAGGCTTCATACTCAAGGTCACTTTGAAGCTTTGGCAGCAGAACTATACTCAGCCTGTCTCCTCCTGTGCCCCACGTGTGCCCCAGGCTTGTGCAGCCCACCACCCAGGGAGGAACCCCCAAGCCAAAGCCCCGCAGCCGGCTCGGAGCCAAGCCACATCGGCCCCGCCCTCGGCTCCAAAATGCCAGCCTGGCATCCGGTACGGCCCCCGCCCCGCCCCGCCCCAGAGCATGCAAGGGTGGCAGTGCCTACCTGCGGGCTCCGGATGGATCCGAGGGACACCTAGGGGAAGGAGGGGGAAACAAGGGCTGTGGCACTTCTGGGGGCCTTGGTGAGGTTATGGGGTCTTTTGAGCTGCAGCCACTCCCTGCTTTCCTCAGCTGTGGTGGGAGTGTGCTTGGCAGCAGACCATAGAGCACGCACGGGTAGGGAATGCACGGGTGATGTCACTGTGCCTGGCACTGGCTGGGGGTGGCGTGGGTGCCCTTGGTCACCCAAGGAGCTTTAGTCCCCACTGAAGCTGGCCATGAGAGGCATCGCAGGGCTCAGGAAATCTCTCTCCTCTATCCCGACTGCTGCCCCTCGGGACTGCTGGATTTGGAAGAGATCTCTGCAGTGGCCCAGGCTCAAACTTCTTTCATAGTGGAGGAAACCAGAACCAATGTGGTCACACATTGGTTTTCCCTATTTTTATATGCATTTTTTATTACAGAGACAGTCCTTGAACCCATGCCCACTATTATTTTTAAATCGAGCAATTTAAAGATTTGTGCAGTAGAAAGTAAAGTGCTTCTTCCCTGCTCCCTCACCACCACTTCCTGTCCTACACAGAACCACTGCTTACAGTCTGATGTTTATTCTTCTGGAACTTTCCCACTAAATTTGCATAAGCATGTGTGTGTAGTATGTAATTTTTTAAAAAGCAAAGATGCTCCTCTGATGCACACTGTTCTGTAACTTACTTGCTCAGCTTAACTGTGTATCTTGTTTTCCTTTTTTGAGACAGGGTCTCACTATGCAGTCCAGGCTGGCCTTGAACTCATGGGGATCTTCCTGCCTCCGCCTCCCAAGTGCTGGGATGACAGGCATGGGCTACCATGCTCTGTAGGCATACGTATCTTGGAGCCCTTCCCACAGATCTGCCTCTCTATCTGCTCAGTACTGAGGATGGAACCCAGAACCTCCTTATGCTAGGCAAGCACTGTGCTGAGCTACATCTTAGCCCTTTTTAAAATTTTCATTTTGAGCCAGGTTCTTAACTAAGTGGCCCAAGCTGGCCTCAAACTCATGATCCTCCTGCCTCAGCCTCCTGAGCAGCTAGGATTTACAAGTATGGACCACAGTGCATGGCCTGAGACTTTTTTTACTGTCCACAGAGATTACAGATGAGCCTAATATATTTTGATCCTTTCCCTGTGATAGTTTTTACATTAGCTCCACACCCTCCTGTTACAAATGCTTGCATGATGAATACTTTTGTGCAAACAGCTCATATAGTATTATCATATCACCTGACAGACAGATTTCCTGTTGTGAGACAGTTTGGTAAAGTCATGAATATTTTTGGCTTGGAGGGATATAAACAGTGACTATTTCTCCACACCCTCAATAGCACTGAGCATGACCACCTAAAATTCAGAGTCTTTTTTTTTTTGTCTTTTTCCTTTTTATCGGTACCAGGGATCAAACCCACGACTGCCTGCTTGCAAGGCAGGCGCTTATGCTGCTGAGCTAAATCCCCAGCCCCAAACTCAGAGTCTTAAGCGGAACCTGAGGGTGCGCACCCGTAATCCCAGCACTCAGGATGCTGTGGGAGGAGGATTAAAAGTTTGAGACCAGTCTGGGGAAGTTAAAAAGATCCTGTCTCACAGAAGAAAATTAAAAAATGGATAAATAAAAAGAGCTGCAGACATAGTTCAGTGCAAAGGCCCTAGGTTCAAAACCCAGTGCTGAAAAAGGAAAAGAATATTGACGGCAAGCTGAAAGGACACAGCCCTCTGCCCTATGTCCATCTAGATGCTGGCCTCTGATGACTGCTACTCCCAAAAGCATCCCACATGGAAGGCAGGGGCACAGGCCAGGGTGCAAGGTGGCGGCCTCTGCCCTTTTTCCTGTGTGTATGGGGAAGGGTACTGGGAATGAATTCAGAAACTTCAGCTTGCAGGGAGGCCCCCTGCCTCCAAGCTGGATCTCTAGCCCCAACCCTTTTTGGTCTTTTTGAGAAAAGTTTCAGGTCAGGCTGGCCTTGAACTCATAGCAAGCGTCCTGCCTCAGCCTCCCCAGTGCTGGGATTATAGGTGTGTGCCACCATGTCCTGCTAGCCTCTACCCTTAGGGTGACCCTACTCCTTGTCCCTGGGGACAGCCGCTGCTTACACCTACCATTATGGACACGCCTCTGTACAGGAGGACACCTGTTATCACAAGTCTACCCGTGCCCATCTCCTGAGCGGGCTCAGCCCTGGGCCCCAGCTGGGAGGTGCAGACCCTGCTCAGAGCCCCCACCCCGTCCCCCTCCTCACACCGATGTTACTCACCTCCCACCCGCTTCCCCATCAGCCCAAAGAACCGCTTGGCCTCCTGCAGCTGCAGCTGGATGCTGGGGACAGGGACCTGGAGAAACAGAGTTAGTGGAGGAATCTGGGGGAGGCTGACATGGAGACGGGAAGCCTGGAGCTGCAACAATCAGCAAACACTGTCATCAGACGCTTGCTCTAGCTGGTGCTGGCCTCTCCTGAGTATTTTGGCTTTTAGTTTGTATTTTATTTTGGCTTTTGAAACAGCGTCTCCCTGTGTAGCCCAGGCTGGCCTCAAACTCATGGTAATCCTTCTGCCTCAGCCTCCTGAGTGCTGGGATCACAGGTGTGTGCCACGAGGTGCGTTTTCTTCTGCATGTGTTACACCATGTGGTGTTATTAGTAGCCAACAACGCCCCTAGCATGCTCCTGGCACACACAGCACCTGGTGCCCTTCCTGTCAGCCCTTCACAGAGGGAAACAGAGGTACAGAGAGATGCCACGGCATGTCTGAAGTTCCCCAGCCAGGAAGCAAGGGATGGAGCTGGAACCGGAAGCCACCAGCTGATCAGACAGTCAGAACCTCAGTGTCCACAGCCACCATCAGAGTAGGGAGGGGACTGGAAACAGCGGTGGTCCACCCTCAGGTGGGGGCTCAAGGACCACCGCTGTTTCCATCCTTACCCTAAAGGGACAAATGTCCTATCCAAGGCTTGGGACTAAAGTTCTCCTCAGTGACCTGTGACCTCACCCCGAACCCCCACAGAAGAGGGGCTCCTCTGTCCACGGCTCTGGAAACAGGGCTGTCTGGGATGGTGAGCCATGGCTGGTGAGAGGCTCTGTCCTCCATCCCAGGGACCAGCAGGGACCTGGCCGGGGGCAATGGAAACCCCCTGTACCTTTCACCGCATGTCTCATCCCCATTTTGGGATCCACAGGGACTGTTTTCCAAGCCCTGGACTAATTTGGTCTCTTCCAATCTGTCTCCTCCCTGGCTGTCTCTGACTGGAGTCAACCAGCCTAGCCAGAAACCCGAGAAGACTCTTCAGAGATTTGGACCCGTTTCTGAAAAGCTCATGAAAACCACTTTGCCTTGCTGAAATTCAGCTTCAGATGCGAGCTGGAAAGAGTGGCCTTTTATAAATTAGCCAGGGCTGACCCTGCTGCCTTCCTACGGCTTTCTGCTTGGGGCGCGGGGGAGACGACAGAAAACCCTCCAGGTCTGGGTTAACCTGGACCCTCAGCTTCAGAGGGCTGCAGAGGAGCCCTGGAAGCTAGGGGGTGACCAGGTCACCCTGGAGGTGTCCCGGCCCATGAATCCCTTCATTCCAGGAGCCCCAATGCCTGATGTTGACACCACTAAGTACATCAAACCAGAGAAAGAGCTTGAGAGTGACCTGCCCCCCCTCCACCTTGCAGGTGGCAACGCTGAGGTCCCCTAGACCGCAGGAGTCAGTAGACAAGCTGGGGCTTGAACCCCAGTTTCCAAGGCTTGCAGCCCTCTCCCCTCCACCCACACTTTCCCTGTCAAACAGAGAGAAGCCCGTGCCACACATGCCCTGACATGCATGGCTCTTCCTGAGGCTCCAGGGACCTTGCTGTGGCCTAGGACCTCTGGCCTAGTGTCCTCAGCATGCCAGGAGCGATGCAGAGAGCCAGCCACAGCATGCCCTCCCATAGCTATCCTAAGTACCGTCTTCCTCACCGGCTGTGACTGCTCGTCAGTCCTGGGGCAGCTCCAGGGCAGGGGCTCTGTCTTCCCAGAGCATCTGCTCAGGTTTGGAGTCAGGATTGAGTGGGTGCAGAGGTTGGGTCTCCAGCTGTTAGCATCCAGTAAGTTTAGAAGACAACATTGCAAACCAGGACTTGGGGCCGGGGGCTTAACTCAGCAGCTTAAGCACTTGGCTGGTGAGTGCGTGGTCCTGAGTTTGAGACCTGGTCCCTCTCCCCCCACAAAAAAGGACCCATACAAATGAATTGATCTCTCTGTGCCTCAGTTTCCTTGCTGTGAAACAAGGAAGTAACAGTACTTGCCCAGGAGGTTGATAGAAGGGTTCAGTGAGTTAATGTTTATAAAGGATTTAAGAAAGTATCAGGAACATAGTCTGTGGATTTTTCTTTTTTTGAGCAGAGTCTGGATATATATTTTAGACTGGCCTTAAATTGACTATGATCTTCCTGCCTCAGCCTCGTGAGTGCTGGGATGACAGGCGGGCGCCACCACGCCCTAAAAGATGGTACACTGTTTCCATGCTTTGACACACGCACACACACCCACACACCCACTGTTGCTCCATGCACATGAGCCTTGAGTCCCTTCAGTGGTCCAGGGCTCATGCCCTTGAGCTGCCCACAGACAGGACAGCCCACGGTACACAACCCACTGCTCTGGCCACCTGAAGGGATGGCTCCCCACCCTCCTCCACGGATCACTGCCTGCCTTGGTCCCAGCCTCCCTGCCAAGGTACCTCCAGGGTCATGGTCACCCAGGGCCGTGCTTTAGCGCCAAGGGCCAGCTCCTCTCCACCGCGGCCTGCCGAAGTGCCCTCGGATAGTCCTGCCAAGAGAAGCAGGGCCAAGCAAGGCAGCATGGTGGGAGCACTGCTGGGTCTGGGGACCCTCGGGAGTCCTCTGGCCTGAGGCTGCTGCCTGCAGCCGGTCCTGTCACCTCTTGGCTGCTGCAGTGTGCCTGGGAGACGATCCCAGCGATTCCTTCTCTCCGCTTATCTGACCTGGGGCCACTTCCTGTAACCCCCTCCCTCCCAGCTGGGAAGACCAATGGCAGCAAGGGCATCATGGGGGAACAGACCAGCCCCCCTGCTGCCAGGGTATTTGATCCCATGGCTTAGCACTCTGATGCAACACCTGCCTGGCCTCTGGCTGAGCTCCTGGCTTCCTCCCCCTGCAGGTGCACAACAGGTTCTCAGCTGAGGCCTCTCCCCAGAATGGCCTGCCTCCCTTCGCCAGCCTCTGGCCTCTGAGTCCCACTTCCGCAGCCTTTCCCCCTTTAGCAGGCCCCCCACCAACCCAAAAGTGAGGCTCCAGCTCAGGCAGAGCGGTAACTGCCTGTAACCCTGACACTTTGGGAGGCTGAGGTGAGAGGGTCTCGAGTTCAAGCCCAGCCTGGGCAACTGCATGAGTCTGTCCACTGGGGCTCTGTGGTCAGACACCGAGTTCCAATTCCAGCCCCATCACTGCGCAACCATGACCGTGGGAGCATTACCTAACCTCGCTACACAATGGAGCTGCCCTCTGCAAAGCAGGACGCATAATAGCCCTGGGGCCGGAGCCTGAGGATGGGCTGAGCTAATGCATGGGGAGCACTTAGCTGGGGTGCGTGGTAAATGTTTAATGCCAGTGACTATCATTAGTTACTACCACTGACTCCGGGTCACAGAAGGCTAAGATCGGCTCTCTCTGAGAGCAGCCCAGTCCACGTCTGCGGGCAGATGCCAGCCCTGGTTGGCCAGTGCCAGTGCAGACAGGGAGCAAGGCAGGGCATGCCCCCTTCCGCCTGCCTCCATCTGCTCCCAGCATAGGTTCTGCCCCTGCGGGACCTCCCTTTCCACCCAGCTCACTCCCTCCCTCCCCAGCAGTAGGCATGAAACCCTGGGCCTCTCACATGCTAGGTAAATGACCTGCTACTGAGCTACATCGGCAGCCCTTTAAAATTTTGAGTCAAGGTCTAAGTTGCCCAGGCTGACCTCAAAATTGTGATCCAGGAGGCCTGAGCCTCCTGAGTAGCTAGGTGTACACCTCAGTGCCTGGCAAGTTGGGAGACCACTTTCTGTTTACCTCCTCACTGGAGTTTTCTGTCTCTGGCAAGAATGAACTGGACCCTTTACCACTACCACCCACTTGTATTCTTGTCACTGTGAGCTGCACTGGTTGTGCACTGCACAAGAGTGGCTCCTAGGGGGAGCACTGGAACTCAGCACTCACTCTGATTACCCATCCAGCTTGGGGTGAGGCCACACTTCTGAAGGTACAGGGCTGGGACAGTGCTGCTGTCAGCCACATGGTAGCTGAAGAGGCCATGAATGTATGGAAGGAGGCTATGAGAAATGTGTGCCATGCACATAGTAGGTACAAAATAAAAAATGCACCAGCTGGGTCCAGACCCACCAAGACAGAAACAAAACCAGAGAGTATGGAGGGCTGATAGGCAGCTCCTTTACGCAGCATGTGCACCAATCGCTAGCTAGCTGATGGCTTAAGAACCCCAGCGTTTACATCAAATGCAGATTACCTGATTCAGTCTAATTCTCCGTGCTGGGGCGGGCCTGAAGGTTCCTCTGGGCACAGCAGGGAGGCCATCACACCAGTGCTCACTCAACTCTCCTAAGTCAGGGCACCTAATTAATGTGTCACGTGCAGTTTTGGGTTTTCTACTGTTAAATTTTTCCTTGCACAAACAGTTCTGTCTTCTATTCGTTTTACAGATCTGGAAACCGAGGCAGGGGGGTTTATTTTAGGTTGTGCTGAAAATTAGCACACTAACCTGGACCCTGCACACAGCCCTGGGGCACAGCCCTGGAGGCAAATGTAGCACAGGCTTTTGGACCCCGAGGCCTTGCATCTGCTGGTGCAAACCGGTAACCTTGGCCCCAAGGGGTAGCCAAGCCTCAGTTTCTCTTCCAGCAACTTGGAGCTGCCCGCATAGGGCTCTGAGCTCTGTTGCTACAGTGCCCAACTAGGAGCCTGCGCACCGTGGATTCTAACCCACCGCGCTCAACGGACCCGCAGCCGCCCCAGCGACGGTCTCTGCCACACTGCGCAGGAGCCACCGGACGTGGGGGGCGCGGCGCAGCAGAACCCGTGCGAGGCCTCCAATGGGCGCGCAGGGCGGAGGGGACGAAGAAAAAGAAAACCCCGAAGCCCGGATGGCCCGGAGCGGGCAGGGCCCCGGCTGAAACCGCGGCTATTTGGAGAGTGGCTCTCAGGCTGCGGTCTGGCTGGGGCTGGCAGGCCCCGGCCCCGCCCGGTGCCCTCGGCCACCCGGGCACGGCCTGGCCCTGCGCGCCCCGGAGAGGCCGAGGCCCGAGGAGGGCGGGGCGCGATCCCTGCGCCAGCCAGGCCTGGGCAGGTTCGGGGGGAGGTCCGAGGTCCGCGTGGGCGAGGCGCTTCAGGGTGCAGGTTCCGGTTCCGGCTCGGGTTCCGGCCGCCCGGACCCCCGCGGGAGCGGGCTGGGGGTGGTGTCTGGCCGCGGGGCGGGTCGCGGCCGCGGCGAGGCTCCCGGGGCGCCGGGTGGGCGCAGGATTGCTAAAGGCTGCGGTTTGGCTGGGGTGGCGGAGCCCAGAAGAAAAAGCGCGCAGGAGGGAGGAGGGGTTATAAAAAAAAGCTGCCGGGCCGCGCAGAGCCGGGAACTGGAGCCGAGGGCGGGATGCGGAGGAAGCGGCCGGTCCGACGCCTGCTGCGGCCGCGGGAGGCGGGGCGATCGGCGGGGCTCGCTCTGCTGGGGCGCGGGGGGCGGTGGTGGTGGTGGCAGAGCCGGGGTTCCAACGCGCGGGCTCCTCTCGCGTTTGCTTTCACCTTGGCGAGGCCCCCCGCAGCCCCTTGGGGGCTTGTGCGGCGCGCAGTGGTAGTCAGCCTGCTGTTTTTCCCTGCACCCCGACTCCGCCTCCGCCCTCGTCCTCCAGCGCCCCCACGTGGACGCGTCCCCCGGGCTCCTCTGCGTTTCCGAGCTTCGGATCACGCACTCGTTCACTGATGATGGACTGATTTACCCAGGACCTTGCAAAAGGAGAGTTGCCAGGCAACAGGAAAGACAGCGTGCCGAGGCCGCGGCAGATGCCCTGGGGAGGGACGACCCCCTTTCCTACCTTTACAGTGCGGGGACACTCGCCCTGCCGGGTCCTGCGGGTTTGGAACTGGATCTCCAGTTCCAGCCATGGCGAAGGTGGAGCATGTAGCCTTTGCCCCTGTGCCCAGGGGTTGTATGGGCGGATGTCTAGGCCCACATTTGTGGCAGACAACTTGGCCCAAGCCTGCCTTGCCCTTGGCACCTCCGGCCCCTGGCCCCTCGGTTATGTCTCAGTGTCTCTGGAGGAGCAGAAGGTAGCACAAAGTTTCAGAGAGATTCTTGATGCAAACTAATAATCCGAGTTCTGAGAATAATCAAGGCTCTGAGTCCTCAGTTTTACCAGGAAGTCCAGCTACCCGTACCCATCAGAAGCCCAGGGGTGCAGGGACCCGGATCTCCCACCTGGCTCTTTTCCTTCTCTGTCATCTTTCTCAAAGGACCCATGTTACCCACATCTTTGCAGTTAAGGGAAGATGAAGATGCCGGGTGGGGTTAGGGATCCACATGTAGCGTTTGTGTCAGAGCGGCAGATGTGGGGGTGATGGCGCATGCCTGTAATCCCAGCACTCAGGAGGCTGAGGCAGGAGGATTACATGTGTTCGAGGCCAACTCTGTCGCAAAAACCACAAAAACAGACAAAAACCCCCACTGAATACTCTGGGTTTGGATCCTGGCCCTGCCACTAATATCAGTGATCATAGGCAAGTTGCCTAATTGTTCTGGACTTGACTTACCATCTGGGGTAGGAACACAGCACTGGTGTCAAGAAGAGTTAGGGTGAAATATGGCATGAAAGCCTCATGGGGCAGCTGGTGTGCTGTAGGCTTCTATGCTGCCATTATTATTACTGATTATAACAGAATTAAGTGGTGATGTCCAGCCCTGTCCGATAGGGAGTCCTGATTAAGGAAAGTCATTCTGGGAATTCCCTGATTTTTTCCTAAGGGTAGGAAAAAGTCCTTTCCTGCAGCCAGGTCACTTCTGGAGGGGAGACTTGACTTAGGGGACCTGAAAGGTGGGCTCAGAGGCTCCGGGCCCCTCGTGGGGAGGTGTGTGTGCCAGTCTTGTCCCTTGTCTGGCAGCATCTCCCTGGGGTGCTGGCTTCACCCGGAGCCTACCAGCAGTGAAGGCACTGGAATCCGACCCCATTAGTGCGCAGAGAGGAACTCATGATTAAAATTGGCCTTTTCTTCCTGCATCTTGGTTACTGAGTACGGGAGAAAAGTGAGCTGCTAATTGGAAATGTGATTATAATGCACTGTCCTCTGTCTGCCCAGGGGAGCCTCCAGCCCCTGCTGTCTGCAGAGCACTTGGTTTCTGGTGGCGGGGAGACTGGAGCCAGCCCTGTGGAGACAGTGCCCGGCGGCTGGGCACTTGGCTGGCTGTGCATGGCGGGCGTGTGGAGCTGCCCTTGCAGGACTGGACCTCCATTCTGCCCTCTTGTGCCCTCCCTGGGGCTTCTGTGGCCTGGGGTGGGGAGGGGATCAGGCCCTTGAGGTCAGAAGAAAGCTCCCCTGAGACCCCTGGGCTGGTTTAGTCCCAGGAGGGCTGTAGGGCTGGACGAGGGACGCTGGGCTCTGCTGCTCCTGGCTGGGCCTGCTCCCCGATCTGTGCTTCCAGCCCTGCAGTGGGAAGAATAGGAGTTTCAGGGCGCACTTGATCTGTGCCTGGCACTGGATGAGCACTCAAGGAACTTCCCCTTAGTGACCACACATTCTTCACCCTTTCTACAGCCCATCTGTCAAGTGGACACACTTTCCAAGAGGAAGGTCTGGGACCCCGAGTGAGGTGGACGCGGGTTGGAGCTGTTCTGTGGGGTGTGTGCTTAGGATAGGGGGAGTGTCGGAGACCAGGTAGGGGAGGAAAGGAATAGGCTGAGTTCTACCTCCATGGTTGAGTAATCGTCATAGATGAGACTGCCCTCCACAGTTGTTTGGGTTGAACACGGAGCGACACCTTGGAAAGGCAGAAATGAGGGGGTAAAACCCTGCCCCTGCTCCTTTCACCAAACCCGTCTGCGTTGTGTTTGTGCTGTCCTGGCACACAGTGCGTGGTGTGTGGGTAAAGCCATCCCAGAAGGGCAGAGGGCAAAATGCTGGAGCAGAATCCCAAAGAGAGTGGTGGGCCGAGGGCTGGGACTGGGCAGAGGGTGAGGGGACAACCAAGGAGGGGTGGTGGGGAGAGGGGAGCCCCAAACACCGGGGTAGAGATGCTGATGGCACAGTTCCTGGGAGAGGTTGGAGGGGACCCCAGGGGTTAGTGGGCTCTGTCTGTCTGTCTCTGTTTTTAATTTTACGGATTGATGCAGTGCTGCAGGTTGAATCCAGGGCCTGCACACTGAGCCACACACCAGCCCTTTTTATTTTGAGACAGAGTCCTGCTGTGTCACCCTGGGTGCCCTTGAGCTTCCGTGGTCCCCAGCTTCCAGAGTGAGGCCGTCACTGCCATACACTGCCGTGCCCTGTTGCTTGCTTCTTTTTAAACGTCATTGTTTTGTGGTGCTGGGGACGGGATGTGGGGCCAGCTAGACAAGTGCCACCGCCTGCCCCAATGGAGAGCACTGCTGAGATGGGCAGCAGGTCCAGGGTTATCCCACATCCTGGGTTTTACAGTGAGAATAAATGTGTCACTTACATAATACAAAACAAAGGGGAAACTGGGCGTGGTGGTGCACACTTGTAATCCCAGCACTTGGTAGGCTGAGGCAGGAGGGTCCTTGCAAGTTTGAGGCCAGCCTGGGTTACAAAGTGAGCTCAAGGCCAGCCTAAACTGCAAGACCCTGTCTCAAAGAGACAAAACTAAAACTAAAAATAAATTCTATTTTGACATCGAATTTCACTAAGTTACCTAGGCAAGCATTGAACTTTTGATCCTCCTGCCTCAGCCTCCCAGGTAGCTAGGATTACAGGTGTGTACCATTGTGCCTTGCTATTTCTTTTTTAAGTGACAGGGTCTCACTGTATTGCCCAGGATGGCTTTGAACTCCTGGACTCAGGTGATCCTCCTGCCTCAGTCTTCTGAGTAGCTGAAACTACAAGTGTGTCTGTTGTGGACTACAGATCTGGAGCCATTTGGCTCTCAAACGGTGTACCTGGTGTTTGGGTTTTGGTTTTGCAGCCCGGGCTGCAACGCAGGGCCTCACTGTGCTAGCAGTGTCCAGTTTTGTTCCCCTGTTACCCCTCACACAGTCGGTGCATTTAAAATGGAGAGCAGAAGAGAAACAGGGAGCTCAAGGGAGAAGGGTTTGAGGCCTAGCTGCAGGAGGCCTTTTGAGAACAGGGCCCAGTGCAGGCGCTGGTGGCCCTGGGTAGCTGTCCACCAGTACCCCAGGTCATGAGGTCAGCCCTGATCCTTCCGAGGCTCCTGGGGGCTTCCTGCGTGTAGGGGCCACTGTTGATGTTGGTGACACAGGAAGCTGTCCCCT